ACCCCCTCCCATGCCCCGACCCCCTGCCCCAGCCCTGTTCCCTCTCCCGCCCTCTGAACCTGTCTGTCCCAGCCCAGAGCACCCTCCCGCACCCCAACCCCTAATTTTGTGAGCAATTATCATGGGCCACCATGCAATTTCCATACCCAGATGTGGCCCTCAGGCCAAAAAGTTTGCCCATCCCTGGTCTAAGTGCTTAGACCTGCTGTAGGATAGCATTTCTGTGGAAGACCTTGCCCAGTCTGCACTAGCAGTGAGGTTCCCCCACTGAGAGCTGAAATCACTGAAAGCTGGGTGGAACCTCAAGAGACCGACTCATAGAGGTCACGGTGGCAGCAGGAGATGACGGCACAGGAAAGGTGGTATGAACAGTGGCACGATGGACAACAACAGCTGGAGTGAGTGGCAAGCAGCTGGAGGAATGAACAAGGTGCCTTCTCTCTCTCGCCCGCCTGTAGGTGCTAGATGAACTGATGCAAAAGCATCTCTGAACTCTGGATCTGCAAGGACAACAACTATGAGTGAGGTGCAGCGGAGGGAGTAGGGAGGGGTACGTTAAAGGAACATTTGTTTGTTGGACTATGTTTTAGTGACTTTTGCTCCAGAATGCTAGATTTGTGACTAGGGAAACTTATATTAATATACATTTTCTAGTCGGCCAAGATTTTTAAAATGCATTATTTGTCAAGGTTATTATCTCACATTGTCGCTATCTCGAGAGGCCATTATCTTGGGAAGTTTCTGTACAAAACATTCTTATTATATTATAATTACTTTTTACATAAGAACGACCATACTGGGTCAGACCATTGGCCCAGTATCCTGTCTTTTGACATTGGCCAATGCTAAGTGCTTCAAAGGGAATGAAAAGAATAGAGCAATTATCAAGTGATCCATCCTCTGTGTTCCACTCTCAGCTTCTGGAGAACAGAGGCTAGGGACACTCAGAGCATGGTGTTGCATCCCTACCCATCCTGCTAATAGCCTTTGATGGACCTATCCTCCATGAATGTATCTAGTTCTTTTTTTGAACCCTGTTATAGTTTTGGCCTTCACAACATCCCCTGGCAAAAAGTTCCATGGGTTGACTGTGTGCTGTATGAAGAAATACTTCCTTTTGTTTGTTTTAAACCTGCTGCCTATTAATTTCATTGGGTGACCCCTAGTTCTTAAGTTATGTGAAGTAGCAAATAATATTTCCTTACTCATTTTCTCATCAGTCAAGATTTTATTGACCTCTATCATATCCCCTCTTGGTTGTCTCTTTTCCAAGCTGAAAAGTCCCAATCTTATTAATCTCTCCTCATGTGGAAGCTGTTCCATATCCCTAGTCATTTTAGTTGCCTTTATCTGTGACTTTTCCAACTCCAATACCTCTATTTTGAAATGGGGCGACCAGAACTGGACACAGTATTCAAGATGTTGGCATACCATGGATTTATATAGTAAAAGTGGAGGAGCTTGGTTTGCCAGACTGATCAGCAAACCAATGCTGACAACCTATGTGAAAAGACTGCAAAATACCAAGCCTCTGGACTTCATAGACATGCAGAAAACCTTATAAACCAGTCACTGTCAAAGCCAATTTAGAAGTACTTAATGAGGCTGTTAAGAATGCTGGAGAGACAACACAGTTTATGCAAACAAACATGGCTGTCTCATCATACTTCCTATTTAAGCAAGAGATACCACACACTACAAACTGGGGACCAATGTTAAGTGCATCGTCACTTGTTAATTCTGAAGTTGGACATTGATTCTGACTAACACCAGCAAATGCTCGCTATCTTTCTTCAAGAAACTCAACTGGCTGATTAGAAGCATGTGGTGCAACAGTGAAAGACTCAGCAGTTGAAAAAGTGAAGAACTCTCTCACCGCATTCAGAAAATGTGCACACACGGCCGATGATGGGCGTTAAGTATTAAGTCATTGCGTACGTTATCTTGGTGTCAGTGGTAGGCCAGTAGATGCATTTCTAGATGTTCAGGTTATAGAAGGCATATCGGCTGTATCTGTGACAACCCACATCTTAGAAGAGTTAAATGCTTGTAAACTGAACCCCAAACAGATGGCTGCTTGTGCATTTGATGGAGCTGCAAACTTCTCTGGAAGACATAGTGGAGTACAAGCTTTGCTCAGAGAAAAGTGTAATCCTAATCTCTCCTGTACACACAGCAGAGGCCATCTATTCCAACTGACACTAGTCAAGATGCAGAATCTTCAAAAGCCATTAAAAAAAGCCATACATTTAATGTGTGTTATATGTTTTTTTTTTCCAGCAAGAGTCCAAAAGGACTGAACGTCTTGGAAAAAATAGAAGATACACTAGGACTGAAGTTCGAATGAGTCCAACCTGAGAGAACCTGCTGGCTTTCTAATGAGCAATCTTTGGCTGTTGTCTTAAAATTACTGCAACCATTATTATTGACTTTGGAAAGCATCTACCAAGATGGGACGGATCGAAGTAGTGAGGCTGGTTAACCACTTTTGTTACTAAGTTCAGAGAAGGCTATTGCTATTCTCTCTCATAAGTCTACTGTTGAAAGCACTTGAGTTATTAAATAAGGCCATCCAGGCATCTGGTGCAACAGTAGTAGATCTTTGTGCAGCAATAGAAGCTACACTTATATAAATCGGAGAGAGAGTCATTGAAAACATACTGTAAGAAGCAAAGACTGCAGTTCAGAAGTTGACTGACTAAGGCATTTATATTGCCTACTTCAGTAAAGAGGACAAGAAGTGTTTGTTAAGCCAGCTGAAGAAGTACACAGACTTGATTCTTACAAATCTACAACAGCAACTTCTGGATTCTACTAAATCTCTGTCTAGCTTTTACAGATGCCTGTCTTATAAAACACCAACAGTTGAGTGGAGTGAGGCAGTACCACCAATGGGGCTGCTATGTGATCAGGACAGAACAGAGAATTTGAACACAGAGTGGAATATCATACAACAAACGAATGAAGATTTGATTTCAACTTCTTCTTTATCATCACTAGTGGTTTGACCCAATCTGTTTGCTACGTTTCCTGTGATGAAAGAAGTAGGAATTCATCTCTTGCTACTCCCAGTCACAACAGCTATAGTTGAGCATTCTTTTTCCTCATTGAGTAGAATTTTGTGCTCTGAAAAGAGGCACCTTCTGCCTAATCATGAGCATATCATGAAGGACCGAAATACCAGACACATGAGAAGCCACCAAAGATGAACGCACTGCATTTGAGAAGTTCAAATTACAACAAGAAACCAAGAAAGATGTAGATGTAGTGCTTCATAGTAGGCTTGAGTAGCTAACTTTAATTTGTGTGATGATTTTGAAACATGAGTTAAATCTAATAAAAATGGTCGTGAAATATTTTTCAGTTTTTATTATCGTGCCATACAGCCCACTTTCGCCCTATGGTCGCACCCCATGTCAGCTATCACCCTCTCCCCCCCGCCCCGCATATTCAAATGCGCCCCCCCTCCCCTTTTTCAATTCCTGGGGAAAATGCTGTTGGTGAAGGAAAACTATTGCCATGAGATTTTCCAGGTCTCTAGGGGTGTAGTAATCTAAGCAACAGACACTCCTTGTTTTCAGGGCTCATACTGATGAAGTGATTCTCATTGCATCACTTTTTTTCTTAAATCTGAGCTTTTGGAGAGGCTAGGTTATTTTTTCCATGGGAGCTAATGTGTCTGTGTATTTGAGACATTCAGATTAAAAATGTTTATTACCTAATCCCTTTATATTAAAACTAAAATCTTTTAAAATGAATATATCTTTCACTGTTGATGCTGTTTGATTTACTGGTTGTAAATCTCTTAGCTTAGATAATGGAAAAAGCATAGTTGATTTCACTTTGAGATTCTCATGCACTAGCCTAGTGGTCCTCAACCTGTTCAACCATAAATCAGCCCATACTGTCTACTCTTTTTAGTCTAACGATTTCTACCTTCTATCTTGTAATGCTTAAGGAGTCTTCTTTAGAATAAGAAATAAGGATTGCTCAGATAGCTTTAACCGCATTGCACTCATTAATGTGCTGATGAATTCACATGACTAACTCCTGCTGAAAATATGACACTGAATGTTAAAATATTCTAGTTTCTGGAGTTCTCAATAATGAGTTTTGTAGGATATAGGAAAAAAAATGGGGGAGAGGGTCTTTAGTTTATGATTTGGCTGCAAATTTGTTTTCTCTATAAAGTCAGATCTGTGTGGAGGGTTCTGCCAGTTGAGGTGAATGTTCTAAGTACCTTTCTGTTCTAAGCACCTGAAAGAGCTAACACTGTATCTCTGTATATAGTTAAACAGAGAAAAGTTTCTTACTGCTTGCTCTATACTATTTTCTGAATATAATTTGATTAACCCATTATGCTGTTCCACCTGTATTCTAAGGGTATATATACAATTAGACACCTGCAGTTGGCACGAGCCAGCTGACTTGAGGTCGTGGGAATCAGGCTAATGGACTGTTTAACTGCAGTGTAGATGTTCAGGCTTGGGCTGCAGCCCAAGCTCTGGGACTCTCCCATCTCTCAGGGTCCTAGCACCTGGCACCAAACATGTACACCTCAATTAAACAGCCCCTTAGCACAAGTCCTTTGACCCGAGTCAGCTGGCACGGGCCAGCCACCTGTTTTTAATTGCAGTGCAAACATACGCTACCTCCATTCTGCAGATATACACACCATTTGGTTCATTTTACCAGTGGAAAAACCTAATATAATTGGGAGAAGATAAGACTCCTATTTATAGGCTCATAAATTAAGGCCAGAAAGGGAACATTAGATCATCTACTGAGATTTCCTCTATTGCACAGGCCATCTGTCTGAAATAGGCCATATGGAATTGGGTCGTACTGCACATAATTGCAGCCCACTTCATGATATCTCCCAAAAACATTGTGAAATTGAGCAAGCCAGGGATGTTTCACTGGAAATGGAGTAGCTTCTGGACCAATAGTTCCTCTGCGATAGTAAAATCAGATTTGTTTTAACTTTTTTCTTTTGGCAGAACACTTTCTGAAAATGGCAGAAGCCCATCAAGCAGTAGCATTTCAATTTACAGTAACTCCAGATGGGATCGACCTGCGAATGAGCCATGAGGCTCTCAGACAGATCTATCTTTCTGGTCTCCATTCCTGGAAAAAGAAGTTCATGAGATTCAAGGTAATGAGTTCCTGTAGATTTGAATGCATAATCAAAATCTATTTGGTATTTTTAAAACTTGCTTGGATTTTGCGTGAGTAGAACTAAATATTGATGTAGCTATGGAAAATGATAATCATTCATCCTGATTTAATCAGTCTTTTTATTCTAACAGGCTGATTTTGTTCTCAGTTGTAAGTGCAAACATTGAGTTATGCTGAAGAATTTAGCACTGAGTGATATTTTGTGGAAACAGTAAAATAGCTATATGAGGGCTAACATTGAGGCATTTTTATTGCCCTTTTATGTATGAGGCCCAGGTGCTGTTCTAAATTTTACTCCTAAGGGAATTCCGTGCCAAAAATTTAAAATTCTCTGTATTTTATTTGTCTATATAACACTACATAATCACACGAGTTTCAATTATTTTGGTAATTTATTTCAAATACCTGTCAGCAAGTATGTCTGTACCAATACAGACGACAAAAGAGATTCCCTCAGAGGTAGAGTTAATGAAACCCTACGACAACCCAGTTCCTGTTTCTCTGTTATGCTTTTGTTGGGCACCTCAGTCTGGGTGTGTCACGTGTGCCAACTGGGCACATCTTGGGGGTTAACTCTGCCCCTCTGGTCTCAGACACCCACACCCTCTACTTCCCAGAGCCCAGCTGCATGGCGTACCCCAGCCCAGACACCTGTACCCTCCAGAGCAGAGCTCCATGATTGCCCCCCCCCACCCCCCTGCAGCCCAGACACCCACCCCCCTTTCCCGTCCAGGGATCCAGAGAGAGAAACAGCCTGATGTTGAGTCCCAGGCTTGTACAGAGTTTCCTGGACGATGCCTCCTTCCTTCAGGATGTGCTGGGAACCGCAGCTGCTGGGAACCCTCCAGCACCGCCTTTCCTTCCTCCTTCCCCCTGGCAGTGTCCTGTATTTGTGAGCTGGAGAGCTGGGCTCTGCTGGCTCCAGCAGTCCCTAATGGTGGCCAGCAGCTCTGCAGCACCATTCTGCGTTGGGAAATGAAATTCTGCACAGAACATTAATTCTGTGCAAATTCTGCATTGCACAGTGGTGCAGAATTCCCCCAGGAGTAAAATTAAATAAATCTGATGGTAGGGTTCTTCCTTCGCTCTTCAGTTAACAATAGTCCAAATCCCAAAACCCAGAAGTAGCATAACATGGGTTGTTACATTTGGTGATCATATTGTTAATGAGAAGACCAGGAGTGAACTAACATAGTGTTTAAATTAGAGTAGGTAATCATTTCAGATTGAGAAAAATTTGTCACTCTTGGTTAAACAAAATTTTGGCTCTTCTAGGCCCCAGTCTTCCAAACATGTATGCTTCTCATTACTTACAGAGAAGTCTCACTGAATTATTCCCCTGTCTAAATTATTCACATACATAAGAATTTACAGTAAAACCCTGATTGTGCATACTTTCTGTTAAAAGTAAGTTTCCAAGTCATCAAAACAAATATTCATGAAAACATGGTGACTTTTGAAGATTCTGATGTTACATACATGTATTCTAGTAAATTAAACTAAGAAATAGATAGTGGCTCTCCGATGCATGGAACACTTAAGTCAAATCTGGGTTTTACATTAAATTCTAAATATTGGGGTCTAGATTGCTGTGAATTCAGTGAGCTTTTTTCCGAATGTCTGTTTTTACATTATGCTTATTTATGCATTATTACTATTAGTATTGACAGATTGTAGTCTGACATAACTGTATGTGAAATATTGAAATTACTTTTTAAAATAGTTTTATTATAAATATAAAAGTATACTTGGGATTCTTATACAACTGTGTGAAGAGAACGGTTTTTTAATTATATAGAAAACTTAGCTGTGTTTTTAGAATCCAAATTGATAAACTGTTGGTGCCTCACTGAGCATTTGTTTTAGAGAGGCCAGTTTCAGATGTAGTGGATATTCCATTAAAGAGTTACTTCTGCTAAAGAGGTCCATTCATTTCAGCCTCTCTTTAGCAGTCTTCCCCAGTGCAAAGCGCGGCCCCTGCTGGCACTGCTTCACGCTTGCACAAGACTTGCCGTTTGGGAGGGCAAATGTATGTATATTTGATATATAACTGAGAGTCTCTAAGCTCATTTCATGCATCATCTTGATATAACAGCTTCTGAACCGCAATTTCTTCTTCCTCCCAATCTAGTCATCTCATCTGTGTCCATCTTCTTGTTCTGAGTTAGATGTGTATTTGAAAGAAAAATATTGGATACTAATGTTAGCGTCCTCTTAAAAGCTGTTTGTATCATTAAGAATTTTTTTTTTGTATTGTGAAATAAATGACTTTCATATGGGAAGGCTAAGTAAGGGATTCTGTTTTTCCAGAATGGAATTATCACAGGCGTGTATCCTGCTAGCCCATCCAGTTGGTTTATTGTAGTAGTGGGGGTGATGTCAACAATGTATGCCAGAATTGATCCTTCTTTAGGAATAATAGCTAAAATCAACCGGACCCTGGATACAACGTAAGTAAACTAGTACCTGTTTCCTCTGAGTGAGTGAATCAGGTTTTTTTATGCAAACCAGCATTTCTCTTGTCAGACAGATGTCTAATCTAATAGACTTTCACATACCGAGTTTTAAATTGAAGAACTAAATTATCATAATGTGCAAGTCACCATTTGATATTACCACTCATTTTATTAGCATGAGTATTATCTGAGGAGTACAACTGATAGCATTTCATCCGACGAGAACAGACAGCACAGGTGTTGTGGACAGGACTGAAGTACGTTAACAGAACCTGTAAAGAGGAATCTTGTACAACCCTGCCCTACAGTGTGCCTGGCTTAGGCAACGTACCTCTGAGTGCTAGGTTCATTCACAATTTTAAGAAAATAAAAAAATAAGTGAAGATTTCTCAGTGGGATGTTTCACCTGCAGACTGACCTGTGTATCAGGACACTATATCCATGTCTCTGTTTAGGTATGAAGTGCAGTTGACTACAAAATGTTGCCATGATTCTGTTTATATTGTAGAAATTGATTTAAACCTTCTTTGGCTTGTTCAGCTATGTAAGTATTAGGCTACTCGTAGCCAGAGCTATTTGGAAGCATCAGTAAATACTGTAAGCTCAGTCCTCCAACGTCATGCAGAAGCTTTTGAGCATGAGTTTAGGCCTCTTATCCTTTATTGCTTTAGAAAGCTATTGCGTGTATGTCACTAGCTGGATTGGAGATATAACTTCAGTTAGTATTTTCAGAAGACCACCAAGTGTTTCAAATGTGGTTGGGAGTATGTGTATGATAAACTGCACTTTTGACACTATATATTTAAAGAAAAGAATTCTTATCGTGCCAAGCTTGGATGGGCATATTGTTTTATGAATTCGACATATATTCAACACACACAAGATATAAACACTAACGTCTTTTCTGTGGTATTTTTCACCCCCAACGTTCCTTGTCCGAGGAGGAATAGTACAGACCACAGCCAAGCAAAGCACTGGTAGACATGAGGCAAGCTTTCTACAGCGTCTTCTGCTAAGTTAGTCTTGTGCAGGATGGGACCCACACAATCCTGACTTGCAACATACTTCTCTTCTGGCTCTGGGCCTTTCTTAGTAGTGGCAGAGTATGTGGTAGTTTTCTGATGTGCACAAATGAGCAAGGATGAAACCACAAACTCTTTTGTTCTTGTGACTGAAGGAAGGAATTTGTTCTCTTATAGAGTTATAAGGCTAATAGGTCAAATCAGTTAGTGCTACCTTTCTGTCAGTTACTACCATTTTAACACACTTTTCTGCATATTTTGTGTATGCAATCACTGAGGAATCTGGGTGAATTATGTTAAATCATGTTGGACCTTTTCTAGTGATTTACAAGTGTAAATCCAGGGTGAATGAGAATAGAATTTATCCTCTTCTCTTCTCTATTCCTACAGCAGGATGAGAGGAAGTGTGTAGGAAAAGATGCTACTAATACTTTAATATTTAAGCTCCCTTTTTAATAGTCATTTTTAAGGATTTATGATTTTGTTTGGAGAATTGATGCCCCAGAGAAAATTTTGATCCATACTTTTTATCTCTCTCAATTGAAAAAAGTGGACTTAGCATGTGGAAAGAGACTAGCTTGGCAATGGCCTCAAAAGGTGAAGTCAGTTTATCCACACTCTAGGTACTGTATTGGCAGCAGAAGTACAAGTTGCATCACAGCACCCTCCAGTGTGTCTCACCTCTGAGCAGGAAGCATCACTTGTATGGAGTGAGAAACTTCCCTTTGCCATTCAGCCACTCTCCTCTTTGAGTTTGCCTAGATTAGTAAAAGATTTAACCACCGTAGTTTCCTTTGTGTAAATGCAGGTTAACATCTTTTACCCCAATTTCTGTTGCTCAAGGTCAACCCTATGATGAAGCCTAGGACTTACACCAGTGAGGAATTAGGCATATTGGAGCTTCTGCGCACACACCTTATTCCTCCCCATCCTAATCATCCCCTGCCTCCAGAATACCCCTTACATGTGTGCACACAACTGCTCTTATGTGGGGTTGTTGGCAAAGGAGGTGGCAGAACTATCCCAATACAGTTTGCCTGTGCCAGAGGAATTCACCACCATACAATGGAGAATGACTTTAATGGATCAAAGAACCCTCTAATTCTCCCAGAAATTTGTTGGTGAAAGGTTAGCTATAGGACCTCTATATAGAGCTTGATGTAGCTAGTCACTGGGAACAAGCAGGGCTCATGTTATCACTTTTGTTGTTTGTTTTACCTCTTCTGACATTAATTGACATACACTGACTTTTATTTTAAATAGTGGTTATATGTCCAACCAAACGCAGAACATTGTGAGTGGGATGCTTTTTGGCACTGGGCTGTGGGTAGCCCTTATTATGACAATGCGATACTCACTGAAGATGCTGCTTTCTTATCATGGATGGATTTTTGCTGAACATGGCAAACTTTCCACAGCAACCAGGATTTGGATGGTAAGGAAATTTTGTCTGTTTCTGTTTTAATTGTGGCACTGATAGGATATCTTAAATATCATTTGATTGTGTTTTGTGTGTCATTAAGCTCTTAGAAGCCAGCTCTTTAGTTATTTTTCAGTTTTCTTTGTCTCATTCATTCATAATGTTTGGTATGCATTGGAATGTCCTTGTACAGTGCTGTTTTCTCTCCCAGTGTCTTTGGTTGCTGTCATCCACTTGGCACCCGGGTTGTTGGTGAAACTGTTCAGGTAGTCCTTGGAGAAGGAAGAGCACTTGTATAATTTGCCTATTCACCCAAAGCGGGGGATCAAATATATTGCCTACAGCCACCTCTTCTTTAGTAGGGAAGTACAACTCAGAGATTACAGGTCCCAGCATGCAATGCTGCATCTTCTACAGAATGATCTGAGCTAATTGCTTAGTGCAGGATGGAGCACCGAATTTTGGGGATTGTAGTCCCTGCAGTGTGACATCTGTTATAGTTGAGAAGCACTGTAATCTACTCCATTTAAAGTAAAATAGTTACAGCTCTCTGGGTCCTGGCAACATGGTCTTTCAGCTGGGTAGAACTTGGATGCTCTTGACCCAAAACAACTGCAACGTTTGAAAGACCAGGGATGTGCCTGATGAATAGAGAAAGAGATGCTAAGGAACAGCAACACAGAAGATAAAACCTGTTAAGCAGTCTAAAACAATAAAGCTCCCTTTTACTGTTCCCCTATGATCCACCTTTTTATTGATGTTTGGTTTCATTTCATTTACTTTTCTCTCAAATTGATTTCCAGATAGTTGAACGTATGGGCCGTTAGCCATTTTATGGTAAACGTACAGTTTTCTATAGCTATTTTGGTCTACAGTAAATGTGTTTGTTTTGAACTTTATTTTGCATTGAAATAAAACATCATCTTTTCAAAGTATTTAGCACTTTTATGTTCAAAGCATGTTGAAAACACAAAAGCACAAAATGCTTTGTGAGGTTAGGTGTTTTTTTACCCATTTTACAGATATGGGGGGAACTGAGGCAGAGACACCTAATGATTCACCCAAGATAGCAAAAGAAGCCCAGTGTCAAACCCACGATAAGATCTGAGTTCTGTTTTCCAGTACTGATCATGACTCTGTGGAAAAGAATCTATTTAAGAAGCTATCATATGCCTCAAATGATGTGTTTAGAGAGATCTGGTTGCATGCAGGTGAATGCTTTTTGGGGAGGGGATTTGCTGTTAATCACACTCAGTTATGTCAACAAAAATACTTACCTTGTTTTGCGCTTGGTTGTATTAAAAAAAAAAAGTGCGAGAGTCCGATTAAAATACACGTGATGATACCCCTTATTCACCGCATCCTCCAAGTTTACTACAGTGTGGGATTAACATGTAGTGGCTGTGTTATGGAGGATGTTCAGTAGGCCTGTAGAATGATATGTTAAAATAGTTCTAAGGTGAATATGTATCTGTTTTAAATGAATTTTTTTATAGTTCCCCCAGATATGGTATTGAGAGCCTGCTGATATGAATTTGTACAGTGCAGGTGCTGAATGGTAAGGCACAGTGCACTCTGTCAGAATTGCTTGTCATTGTCACTGGCGGAGTTTTCAGCATGTCCTACTAAATGGATATTTTAAGCTGTTAATCTTCCCTTATAATGCTAAGCTTGAGCAGTGTGAACTGTAATGCTAATTATCACGTCTTGCTGCTTGCATTATATTTCTGGGTACTGTTGGAAAGCTGTTTCTCTTCATGGTTTTAAAAGTCTCTCTCTCTCTCTGTAAAGGAGTGAACCCAGTGTTGCCTCTCAAGACTGACAAATCAGAACTAGTTAGTTGGTATTCTCTTTTGGAACTACAAAGTCCCTCAGAAGTTTTTTCTGATATCTAACATAGCTGGTTTACTAATTTCCAGTGGTAGTGATGGTATTACTTCCCTCATAAACATTTCTGACCTTCATAGCTTTTTACGTCTTTATTATCTCTCTTTGGTATTCCATGATTTTTTTTTTTTGGACCTGTTTCCCATTTTATTTCTCAGCTGTTCCCTTGATTAAGAGCATTCAGAGATGTGGTTAGTAGGAATTTACTGATCTTTGTTCAGAAATAGTCACCTGATTGGAAAACTGGACTGTCTGTTCACCCATAGTCCAAACTGCTTTGCAAGGGACTGGAAACTTGTAACACGTTTGCTTAGAGGTTTTTTTTTTTAAGGAAATTTATTATTTTTAATTCGTGTAGCAGTACTAGGAAGTAAACTTGTAGTTGTAGTTTAATATTTATTCCATAGACAGAAAGGAGAAATGTTGTGTCTGTTGTGAAGGCAAAACCCATTAGAAAGAGATCATTTCAATATCTGGATGTGAAATAAGAGAAGTTAACTGTGTAGAATAAATCACTTACATTCTTTTTGACAAATCATTTGAGAAGTATCCAAATTGCCCTAGAATGTCTTAACTGTTAACAAGCTTACTGTAAGGAAAAAAAGAGCTACATAGAAGTGAATATTGTTATTGCCATCAGGTGAGCAAGTATCCTCCTTGTCATGGGAGAATTTGCACCTGGTATGGTTCAAATATTCTGAAGCCAAATTGTGTCGTCGCCCCCCCTCCCCTCCCCGGTGAAAGGAGCAGAAAGCAACCTCCTGGTGAAAATCTCCATGACCATCGCCATTCCCCCTGTGAAAACGGTGGGGCTTCCCCACAAATCTTACAGATCCCTGAGAGGACATGGCGAACCATGTAGAGATCCTGTGCTCCAGATGACCTTCTTGGATCTTTTCTAGCAGTCATGCCACCTGTGGAGGCCCTCAAGGGTACAGGGTGGGGTGACACTGAAAGGCCGAATCGGCAGGTAGTGATCGATAAATCGATCCCCGATAGATCGCGTCTAGTGTAGACGCGATAAATCAATCCCCGATCGCTCTGCCGTTGACTCCGGAACTCCACCAGGGTGAGAGGCGGAAGCGGAGTCGACAGGGGAGCGGCGGCCATTGATCTCGTGCCGCGAGGATGCGAAGTAAGTGATTCTAAGTCGATTTAAGATACGTCGACTTCAGCTACACTATTCTCGTAGCTGAAGTTGCGTATCTTAGATCAATCCCACCCCCTAGTGTAGACTGGGCCAAAGGGTAGTATCTCTGATCACGGAAAAAACTGAGTTTTCTCTGTAAGTTCTGTAGGGTCAGAGAGGGAATTAATTGAATTGCCCTCCTGTGCCCACCGAGTAGTTGCCCCCACCATCGAGGATGGTGAACCGCACAGAGAAGGCTCCACTGGGTTCTTGGGTATGGGTGCAGGGAGAACAGAACTAAGACTGAGTTTCCCTTTTATGTTGGAAGTGGCGTGATCCATATCAAGTGGGACTCCTCCATGTGTGAATATAAGAGGTGGCATGTTCTGTCCTTTTCTTTTATAGTCGTGTAGATCCCGTGTATGTGATCAGTGCTCAGGACTTGCAATAGGTGGAAGGGTTCCGAAGAAGAAGGTGGGAAAGAAATGCTCAGTCTTAATAATGAGATGCAAAGTGTGTTGCCTTCTTACTGTAATTGGTGACTTTCTTAAGGCACTTGAAAGCCCTACATACACTAAGACTTGGCTATTAACACTGGCATCCTCATACTTATTTTCATTGCATGTTTAGAAACTGTGCTATGGATTTGCTGGGCCAGTGGTTTCTGTTAGGAATGTATTTTTTGGGGGGAAAAACACTGTCTAAGTTAGATTTTTATATCAGGCTAAAACTGTGTAGGAAAATGGTTCTCAAAGATAGTTACAATATTTAATTTTTTAAAACATGGTTGTAGCTAACTAGTGTTCTTATTCTACCATGGGCCTTAACCCAGTGATGGAATAGGTTCTGAGACACCATGTAGATACAAGTTCGATTTTCAGTCTTGCCAATCCTCTAGTCTTCAAAGATGTAAACATATTCAGAAAAACACTTTACAGAGAACTTTTATGGTCTACATCATAGACATTTTCCCTGTCAAAGGCCTTTAGGTTGGGAACAGAGGCATTTACCAGGCCTTTACCATTCAACAGAGGCAGTGTGTCCTAGTGGCTAGAACACTAGATTGGAAAACTGAGGCACAAAGGTCAAGTGACTTTCTCAAGGTCACTCATCAGGCTGGTGGCTAGGCTGGGGACCCAGGTCTCCTGAGTTCCAAAGTGCACTATGGGGATAATGTTTACCTCTTTATAAAGTGTTTTAAGATCTACTGATGAAAAGCCAGGGTATTATTAATTTTCATCTCACACATACTTTGCAGTCATTTTGAATGTAATAGATTGTTTGTTTGGTTTTTTTTATTTCAGAGGCTGGTAAAGCTTTTCTCTGGTTGTAAACCAATGTTGTACAGCTTTCAGACATCTCTGCCACGACTGCCGGTCCCAGCTGTAGAAAACACTGTCAACAGGGTGTGTTGTTGGAGGAGCTGAATTAACTTTTTCACAATTTGATTGTCGTAATGGTTTTCAGTGTCTTTTATATGATAAATGTATTGAAGTGGTTAATGCTATTAACATTCCAATCCCTCCAGTTTTAGTATCAGATTAACATTAATGTATCAATTAAAATAAAGACTATGACAGACCAAGGGTAATTCAGAATTAAAGACTGACCCTTTTTCCTTTAATCTTTATCTTTGGGCCCAGGCTCTCAGTGGATAAAGGCATGATATTACATGCCTTGTCAGTTGGTACAGCAGCACACAATGGAGTGTGATTTACTGGGATAGAGCCCTTGATATCCCTTGCTTTCATTATCCATGTTATGTATTCTTGATGTTACTTAAGTATAGTGCTCCTGTTATAATAGGCTTTGTATTAGGAATTCCTTTAGGCAAGACTCCAACTAGTTTTAGGTTTATTTTGATTCTTGCAGGTAAAGAGTCTCTGCTGGCCTTAGGCAAACTAACTATATATGAAAATTAATAGGCAACAAAAATAGTTATAGCAGTTAAGTCTATCCCCTGTAACTAAAAAATATATCTAAAATGGCTCAAAATTAAGGAAATACTTAATTCATAATATAAAATATCTCACCTACTAAAAGGAAAATCACTTTTCCAAAAATTCTGTGCTAATAGATGTGCTTTCATTTATGATTTGGTAGCAAGTAGTTAGTAGATGGGGTAGGGGTGGGAAGAGAGTACCATATTTGAAGGGGGGGAAATGAGCTCATATCTTTCAAGATGTATGTTCTCAATTATTTTTTACTAACACCTGTTACAGCTGAAACCCTGTAAACCGACTTTAGAATACTTCCCTTTGTTTATTAAGCTCTTTGTGAATAAATGACAATAAGCTCTGGTGAAAGCTGTGGCACTGACATGAATTTTTTTTGTGTTTATTCTAGTATCTGGATTCAGTTCAGCCACTTATGAATGATGAACAGTTCAAAAGAATGGAGGGTCTTGCCAAAAATTTTGCATTTAATCTTGGACCAAAACTACAGTGGTATTTGAAACTGAAATCCTGGTGGGCCACAAACTATGTAAGCAGATGACGCAACGGCTCTTATGAAATCACATAGTTTAACTCTCTGTCCCCTCTTGCATTTTTTCCTGATTTTAATACATGCTTTTTCAGTTTTCAATCTTCTGTAATTTTAAAGGAAGTCCAAAACCAAAATTACTAAAAATGCCTTGCACTTACATCTTTAATGTCTTTCATATCCATTAATTCTTACAGTGCTTCTGTGTAGTAGGTGAGTATATGTACAGATGAACACCAGAGTTACGAACTGAGCAGTCCACCACACACCTCATTTGGAACTGGAAGTACGCAATCAGGCAGCAGCAGAGACACCCCCTCTCCCCCCCCCCAAAAAAAGTGCAAATGCAATACAGTACTGTGTTAAATGTAAAGTACTAAAAAAATAAAGGGAAAGCAGCATTTGTCTTCTGCATAGTAAAGTTTCAAAGCTGTATTAAGTCAATGTTCAGTTGTAAACTTTGAAAGAACCATAACATTTTGTTCAGAGTTAAAAACATTTCAGTTAACCAACACCTCCGTTCCCGAGGTGTTCGTAACTCTGAGGTTCTACTGTATTGATATCCCCATTTTCTAAGTGGAGAAATTGAGACAATGGTTAAATAACTTGCTCAGTGTGGCACAGTGAGTAAGTTATTTAACCAAGTGGCAGAGCGACAAGTAGAACTTAAGAATTCCTGTCTTATTACTCTAGACCAGGCTTCCTGTCTGTCATTGAACAGGACTCAAAACCTACTCACTGCTATATTTGCTTATTAAATTAACTTGCAACTTCTCTACCTGGTCGGTCTGGGATCCAGGGAGTGGAAAGGCAGTGTGGTTTAGAGCCACCTTTTCCTCCCGCTGTCCTCAGCTGCACTGGGTATGAACTTAATGCAAATGTGAATCTGTCCAATTATGTGTACATGTTAGAGAGGAAAACAAAGCTGTAGCCACCAGGATGGGTGGGTGTGGGGGTGTGTGTGCAGGTGGGGTGCGGGGAGAAAGTGGGCACACACCTTACTGGCCTGTTATCTAAATCTTAGCTATACATGGTAGCTTGAACAAGCTTACACAGTCCCTAGAGCAACCCTACCATAGGATGAATAATATTTCAGAAGCTTTATTATGATGCATATTATAAGGACACTTTAGAAATACTGTCTGAAGAGGAGATGGGAGATTGCTTCAAAAATTGCTTACCTGAGAGTTAAGGCTGAATTTCTGACCTTAGTTTCATGGGTCCTTGTGGCTCTCTTTCCCCCCAAACAGTGACACTTCAGCATTCAGAATTAATTAAAAATATAAATAAATAAAGCATTTCCTTCTGCCTGGTGTGTAATATTACCCAGTGTTATGGAGCCACTACAGTAGAGGACCAGAAGCCATTGAGAGCAGAGATACAGGCTAACGAGTTTATGCTAAATTTTGTTCTCTTCATTCTGTAGGTTAGCGACTGGTGGGAAGAATATATCTATCTGAGAGGACGTGGGCCAATTATGGTTAATAGTAATTACTATGCAATGGTAAGTAAATCTTCTAAACCTTTTTATAGAAACATTCCTCCTTAGGATTCCTGTTATCTTTTGTTTAATACTTCGTTTCTGAACTCCATTACTGCGCTGATATAATCTGTGCTTTCTTCCTGCTGGCATAGTCTTCACATAATATATTACAAAAGCACTGATGTCTTTTAATATGGAAATGTTCATAATAAATTCAGTTCCTCTGTCTTTAGCCCTGCTTTATTAGATAGGACTCTACTTCAGATTTAAAAGTTCAGAGTATTATTACTTCCTGTAGAGTCTACTAATTATTTACTGTGACAAGCATTGCCTCTTGGCTCATAAATGCCTATGACTGATACTAATGAGCGTTCCCTGTTGCCCACCCACTAGGATTTCTGTGAGGGGGAATCCAAGTCTCTGTGCTCTGGATCCCTGGGGGTGTGTTTAAGCTTCGACACTTCTGATAGCAAGGGAAGCTGTTCTTCTGTCACTGTAGTAAATCCACCTCTCTAAGAGGAAGTAGCTAGGTCAGCTGAAGCATTCTTCCATTGAACTAGCAGTGTCTACACCAGGGGTGGGCAAACTTTTTGGCCTGAGGGCCACATCTGGGTGGGGAAATTGCATGCAGGGCCATGAATGTAGGGCTGGGGCAGGGGGTTGGGGTACGGGAGGGAGTGCAGAGTGTGGGAGGGGGTGTGGTGTGCAGGAAGAGGTTCAGGGCAAGGGGTTGGGGTGCAAGAGGGGTGTGGGGTTTACGAGGGGGCTCAGGGCAGGGGGTTGGGTTGCAGGAGGGGTTCAGGGTGAGGGCTCTGGACCGGCGCCACTTATTTGAGCGGCTCCGGGGTGGCAGCGGTGCGCAGTGGGGCTTAGGCAGGTCCCTGCATGCCCTGGCCCCGTGCTGCACCGCTCCCAGAAGCGGCTGGCAGCACGGCCCCTGGGGAAGGGTGGGCAGAGGGCTCCACAAACTGCCCTCGCCTGCAGGCACCACTCCCCCACAGCTCCCGTTGGCTGCCGTTCCCAGCCAGTGGGAGCTGCAGGGGGCGGTGCCTGCAAGCGAGGGCAGCACACGGAGCCCTCTGCCCCCCCGTTCACCCCTCCCCCTAGGGCTGCAGGGACGTGGCGCTGGCCGCTTCCAGGAGTGGTGCGGGGTCCGCATCGCCACAGGGGTGGTAATCCCGTGGGCCGTAGTTTGCCCACCCCTAGTCTACACTGAGGCTTAGTTCAGCTTAACTGTGTCTCTTAATGGTGTCAGATTTTAGGTGTAGATCAAGCCACAGGCACTGATGACAGCAGTTTTTCATAATACAACTTCACAATGTCAGTCGGAATTTGTAAGTTGTACAGACATAGCCCCAATTCATCACAGCTCCATATACTACTTAATCCACAAGCATGTTGTTATACTGGATGCTGCTTTAAATTCTTGAATACGTACATGCTGGAAATAAAAATATATGAACTTCTGTTATCAGAAAACAAGCACTAGCTGCCACCAGGCTTCCCTATCTCCCTGATTTGATATGAATTAAGGTTTTTAGTATTGCACTTCTGTTGCAAGTGTGATGCCTGGTCTACACCTAAAATGGAGGCTGGCCTAGCTATGTTGCTCAGGAATGTGAAAAATTCACACCCCTGAGAGAGGCAGTTAAATTGACCTAAGCCCTAGTATAGACACTGCTAAGTCAATGGAAGAATTCTTCCATCAGCCTAACTTCCACCTCTAGAGGGGGGTGGATTTACTACAGCCATGGAAACCCCCCGTCCTGTTGCTGCAGCAAGTGCCCACACTACAGTGCTGACAGTGGCGTAGCTACAGCTGTGCTGCAGTAGTGCTTGTACTGTAGACCTAGCCTAAGTAAGCTGTTTGATACACTAGATTTCAGTCAACAAGCCTTCGATCTGATGCCATTTGAGGAGCAGGTACTGCTATTATTTTGTGACTTTTTAAGAAAACATTTTTAAAGTAGAAAAGGAGGACTTGTGGCACCTTAGAGACTAACAAATTTGAGCATATTTAAAGTAGGAAGTTGTTAAGTGCACTCTGGCTAGTGACTTGGCCAGTTTCCCTACATGAAAGCCTTTTCTGTAAGACACTGGAATTAATTATGGGGAAAATTGTGTTTTGACTAATGCATGATTAATGAACTCCGTTTGCTGAATGGAGTTTGACAATTATAGTATCTATATTAACTTACCTTTCTTCTGTCTTCAGGACTTTCTGTATGTTGTTCCCACTTCCCTGCAGGCAGCTAGAGCAGGTAATGTTATCCATGCCACCCTGCTCTACAGGAAAAAACTGGACAGACAGGAAATCAAGCCAGTATGTAAATCCATTTCAGTAGTTTCTAATTTCTTCAAATTTACTTTTTAACAAATCAGCCTCCATTTTGAAAAGTAACAGAGGAGAGAAGTAGTGCCTTATGTTAAGGTACAGTGTATGTAACTCTAGCTAATGTGTGGCCGCAAACCCATTGTGGTTGCTAGTTAAACTCCACTCATGTTGGACCTTCTGTTTAAAAAGATGTAGACCTCTGCCATGGAAGTTAAAGGAAAACTTCCTTTTGCTACAGTAGTGTTTGAAATGAATTTTGCTGTGGGCTGCACTCCACTGGAGGGCAAAATAGTCACATTACACTTGAGTATTCTGTCTAGTAGAAGGCAATGATACACATACATGTTAATTAGTATGATAATATATTCAAATGCAGAACCCTGTAGGAAGATGCAATTATGGTTTTTTTGAAGGCAAGTTTTAAGGTTTGTGCAATAGGATTTTAATGGACAAAAGGCAGATGATAGTGAAAATGACATCTTCCAGGAGGAGCAGAAATGTCATGCCAGAATAGTTTGTATTCTATGTTTACCTTCGTGCTGTATTTTAAGAATACAGAGAGCAGCGTGTATATGCATGCACGCGCACATGAAGGACAAACAGGGCCAACCTTAAGTCCTTACACCTATGCAAATAAACCTGGCAAAATGGAGGAACCTATTTAATGGGCATATTGATGTGGAAATTGAAATGTGGCAACTACCATAAATCTCAGTGGCAGAAATCCATCTAACTACATTTCCAGTCTATCCTCACTGTACTTCAGTTCTAAAATAAGTAAAATTGTGCTAAATTTTGAAAAGCTTCAAACTTTTAAAATCCTGAAAACTAAATGTAAAAATTCGGTAACCTTGTCAAAAAGTGAAGCCTTGAGGAGTGTAATAAAAAGCACCAGGAAATCAGCGTTTTTTAATACCTGGGTAAGATCAGATCATTTCACTGCTCTTTGAGGAGACATCATGTGCTAAACAAGTTAGGAGACTAGAGGCATTTTCAAACCAAAAAGTAGTTTAAAACTTGCGTAGAGCTAGAAAAGCCTTTCTGTGCATGGCATTGAAATGGATACTGAATACCAATAATGCATCACATAGGACTGTAGGAACCTACTGGACAAAATTGATTCCCAGACAATCTTCTTTTTAAAGCAGGCATCTCAGCGAAGTGACTTCTACTGTTACGTTGCAACTGGAGCAGTTGAAGGATGTGTCCAGGAAATCGTACTAGAGACAGATGCAAACCAAAACCCAGCATCTGAATAGTTCCAAACTTTGGGGAAGTTCAGATCCTATTATGGGCCTTATGGCTTTAATCCATTTCTCTGCATCCTATAAAAATTAAAAAATAAGGCTAGAAAAATCTTAATCACTATTTAAATGGTGTTTGAAAACTTTAGAACAGGTGTGGCCAACCTGAGCCTGAGAAGGAGCCAAAATTTACCAATGAACATTGCCAAAGAGCCACAGTAATATGTCAGCAGCCCCCCCATCCACTACCCCCCTCCAGCTCCGAGCGCCTCCTGCCCACTGGCAGCCCCACCAATCTGCACCTCCCCCTCGCTCCCCACGCCTCCCACCAGCCGCAATCAGCTGTTTTGCAGTGCGCAGGAGGCTCTGGTGGCGAGGGAGGAGGAGCGAGGACATGGTAGGCTCAGGGGGAAGGGGCAGGAGCTTTGAGGGAAGAGGTGGAGTGGTGGTAGGACCTGGGGCAGAGCAGGGGGTTGAGCAGTGAGCACCCCACAGCACACTGGAAAGTTAGCATCTGTAGCTCCAGCCTCGGAGTCATCACCTATGCAAGGAGCCGCATATTAACCTCTGAAGAGCCGCATGCGGCTCCGGAGCCACAGGTTGGCCTCTCCTGCTTTAGAAGAAATTCATATTTAGAAATGTTATCTCCCCTGTCCATTTTGGTGGTATCACTGTTTGTTTTAAAAACAGTCATTGAATTAATCTCAGGAGGATAACTAGATTTTTTTTTTATGGAGTAATGTACAGGTAATACCATGCCAATGGCTTTTCTGTTATTCATATGAAGGGCTTCCCCTTTCTTCTGTGCCTTCAGTTTGTAGTTAATTTCTACTCAGTTTCGTGGCCATTTATTTTAATGAATAAATGCTGCTAATGGAGGGAATCAAGATCACATGACTGTTTTAGCTTGAGACCTAGGGTCACATGATTGTTTTAAGAAACTGCAGTCTAATAAGAATCTGTTCTCTTGCATATATACATATATAAAATACGTTCACTGATATGCCATTTAACTGTGAGGAATCAGAGGCTGTGAAGAGGCAACTCCCAATGGATGATATGAAGTTCTGCATCAGTGATTGGCACTGAGAAAGCCTTGTTAAATCCACAGCTTTGATCATCTGCTTTTAAAGGGGAAGCTCATAGTAGCTGGGCAGTGTACATATGACTAGTGGAAAAACTATGGACCCTAACATGGGTAGGTCAGGGGACAACTAGAAAGAAAGAAAAAAAAAAAGGTCTTTGACGTGTTAAAATCCTCGTGTTGTCCTACAGTCTCTCTCTCTAACCAGCATGTGTGTTTTTTCTCTCAATTTGCTAATTGTATGTATAAAAACACAATTGTAACGTACATTTGCGGCATAGATTCTTCTGATGGGATCCACTGTTCCACTCTGCTCAGCTCAGTGGGAGCGAATGTTTAATACCTCCCGTATCCCAGGAGAGGAAACAGGTAAGTGGGGCCAGCCAAGGACAAGGAATGCCAGGGAATCCAAACAGTCTGTGGAATATTTCCGAAGGGTGTCCTCTTAATATAGCCATAAGCTGCTAGACCTGTACTTTCAAAGAGCAAAACCTGAAAAAGGAGTAAAAAATGCTCTTATGTTAAACTGAATGTGTGCTCTGACCATTTCTCAGCGATTAGCATAATAGTTTCATAGACATTTCTCCTTTTTGACTGACTTCAATTAGTACGGTAGTATTCTGACAGATTTAATGGTTTTTGGCTGTTCCTTTCCTTTATTTATAAGCTGGCCCTTGGAAACTGTTTGCTGCCTTGTTATTTCATATTTACTTTTTCTCTATTCTGTTCCTTAAGGTCCTCTTGTTTTTTATCTACGTTTTTACCTCCATGAAAGTTCCATTCTCTGTGAGATTTCAAATCATTTGAAATCTTTTTATTTTGTTTTTGACTTTCCTTTTTTCCTTTCAGCTTATGATTCAAAATATCATCCCAATGTGCTCTTCTCAGTATGAACGTACGTTCAACACTAGTCGTATACCAGGCGTAGAGACAGGTACAGTTTTAGTCCTGTCAATGTTTTTAGCCCCTACTTGCCTCTTAACCTTATTTGTGCGTAGTAAGAGATGTCACAGTTGAAATCACCTATAGTAATGACACTTTTTATCCAAACTGTGACTTCTCCATAACATGCTTTAAGATAATTATATTGCTTTTTATAATAATTAAGAGCTCAATTGTTCAAAGTTATGAACTACTTCCATAGTGTTGTGAAGGCTTATCAATATAATAAAGGGAGTGTCTACTGGTTAGAATGGTGGGGGGAGTCCACTCCTGCATTCCGTTCTGTGTCTGCCACTTACTGTGTGACACTAGGCAGCTCCCTTTACTTTCCTGTGCTTAGTTTACCTGTAGGAAAAAACTGTATTCACCTACCATACAGAAATCGTGAGGTTTAAATAATTGTAAAAGGTTTGGGCGGTCTTCAAACCTAAGTCACTCTAATGGTAGAGCGATAGAAATAGGACATAGTAGATAGGTATAGTTAAAATCTTTAGAAAGAGAGAAAGGGGGGTGCCTAGAAAGTAAGGCACTATTTTATTTAAATTGTGTATATTGTATTCCAGATCTGCATTCATAAGAGATTTATACATACTGGTAGTTCTGGGGTCTAGCAAAGGGATCTGAAACCTTTCATCACTAGTATAAACCACTGGGCTATATGAAATGAGTTGATGGTATGTGACCATATCACAAAAAACACTCTTGCAGTTGGTACCCTTGTTAATCTGGGAAACTGTAGATTAAGTAGGCTTGGAAACTAGAACTATGTTCTTATCCCTTGAAGTGTCTTCAGGTGAAAGTTGAACTGCTAAGGTTGTTAATCGGATCTTCCACCAGCAATTATAAATTGTTACAAAAGAGAGCATCCTAGAGAACATACAAGGGTACATACATTTTACACACTTTGGCATTTTTAAAAATAACGTTTCTTGCCATTTCTTAAAATTATATCCTGCAGTCCATCTTCTGTTACTTAATCCTGCAATGAAGTCCCAGTGGTGAGTGTGATATAAACTTCTGTGGTGATGGTTTGTGGTGTCATAAACATAAGGTCATGATTCACTGCAGAATAAAACAATGACTTCTGTTCAGGACAAAACCAAAGAAACTGGATTCAGAAGCAGATAGCTTTTTGTTTTAAAACAAAAGTCTTAACAAAAACAGGCCTATTCTCCTCTGTGGAGCAATTTGTTAGTGTTTAAGCCATCAGGTATCCTCAGTCAGAACAGTGAGGACTCCGTTGAATCTTCTCAGAACCAATGAAATTACATTTCACACCAGTAGTTATTAGTTCTCACTTGGAGCCAGGATATCCCTGACTGAGGCATAGAAGGAAGGGAAAGGAAAAAGAAGCCTTCTAAGGGGAAGGACCTGCAAAAGGTCCAGGGACCACAGAGACTGCTCTTTTTTGTCTGCTTCTCGGGTACATGTTGCTCCAAAATGAGCAAGGAAGAAAGCAAGACTATGGTACTGCTCTCCCCTTTATATCCCTCTCACTGGCCTGAAGAGTGGTCTGGGCATAGAGAGGCTTGGAGGAATAGGCTCTGACCTGTAGGCAAGTTCAGTGTATGTACTATAATTACTTGGAATACTCTGAAAAGAAATAGCGTTCCTACACTTTCAGTATCAAGGCCTATGTGTAACTGGTTCATATACTTTCTGTGCATTGAGCTTTGCAGAAATATTATATAAAATTGCCATACTGTAACTGCAACAAATTATAGTTAAAGTAAATTCTGTACATTTGAAAACCACTACAGTTGCACCCTAATTTTCCTGCTGCTCCAGGCAGCAAACTTAAAGTATTTTATATGAAAATCTTCTGTCGTCTTCATAAAATAATTAATCACTTTCCCTTAATCATTGTTTCATGTCCTGTTTGCTCTTTTCAGTTTCAGCATGTTTTTTCTATTAAAAATAAATTATTTCAATTTTCTATGAATAATGCATGTTATGTGTTGGCTTTGTTCTCATTTTGCACAATGTTTACTGAAATCAAATCAGTTTTTCTGCATCTTGAAGGGATTAATTTTTATTTTCAATAATTACTGGAATGGTATCTTAAATTATTTCTATAACAGCCTTAAACTATAGGAATTTTATGTTTTAAAAATATGTATTTCACTTCCACATTGCCAGTGATGAAACCTTAATTATCTTAATACAGTATCCATTAAACAGTTCTTATTTTAATTTTTTCTCTTACAACTAAACATAATATATTATGACAACAGTAAACTGTTTGTTAGACCTCAGAGGTGGAAGATCATCTGGCCAGTCCATCCCCCCACCATAGGAAACCCATGCAATTTGCTTCAGACATTTACAGATGTACAGAAATAACATTTTTCTTCTAGTAATAGAACAAATGTTTATGGAAAGTTATTTATGTAATATGCTAATCTTTTCATACTTTGTTAGGCACCTAAATCTATATTTAGGAACCTAAATAAGTGGTCTCATCACGATAAGTGTGGAGCACCTGAAATTCTTATTGAAATAGTGGAAGCTGGGGGTAGTTGGAACCACTGGAAAACCGGGTTCCTCGTTCTCAGTCAAGAGGCGTGGTCCCTTTGTAAGGGCACAAAAGGGCCATAAAACTAGTGAATTGTGGCCAGATAAGAATCCCTGAATATAGGGTTGAATCCCCGAGTGTCAGTGTGTTCCTTACATAACTGCCCTTTTCATAGCCCCCATCTGAGGGATGTGGCAGTAGCATTGCTGCACTCAGCCTATTCCCAGCTGCCAGAACAGATGTGAATGTGGGCCACAGGCATAAATTAAGGCAGCCCTGAGGTTGCTTTAACTTGTGCCCAGTGCCAACTAGCTGAAGAGCCTGGGTGATGTAAAGCCACTTTTACACCCACGCTTCCTGCACTGACTTCCCGGCCGTATCACAGAACTGGAAAACAGGTCACTTTCTTAGTTGCTTAACATTGGCACCCAAGTTAGAAAGTGTTTGCTTTATGTATATGAGAAATTATTATAAAATTTAGGGTTTTTTTGGCTATTTTGTATAGCAGTATTTTCTTGCTAAATTTCAGATAATATAGTGGGTCGCCAGTGTTTATAAATCAAATGAAATGTGGGATTTAATATTTTGTAAACAAGTATGCTTAGACACAGTGGTATTTTATGGTAAACATATGCCCTTTAGAGTTAAACATTTGGTATCGGATTGTTTCCATCCTAACATCACATGACCTAAGGTTGCTTTAAAACCTTTGATTCCGATTTTAGATACTATCCAGCACATGAAGGACAGCAGACACATTGTGGTTTATCATAAGGGCCGTTATTTCAAAGTCTGGCTATATCATGATGGTAGACTGTTGAAGCCTCGGGAAATTGAACAGCAGATGCAAAGAATTCTAGAAGACTGTTCAGAACCTCAGGCTGGAGAAGAGAAGTTAGCAGCTCTTACTGCAGGAGATAGGTATGAATTTTTTTAAACAGTAACTTTTCTAATATTTTAAGACAGTTGTTTAAAGATGCCAGGCTCAGTGCCAGCTTCTGAACCTTACTGTCTGCGGTTAGTTGATTATTCCATAATCTGTGTTGTTGCATATCACTGGAATGTGAAACAATTGTTGAACCCTTTCTGGTTTGAGTTAGAAGTAACTTAGCAGTGATCAGTCACCTTCAGGCACACCTTCTGCCTATTTGTAGTTTGAGAAGCTTGCTTTGATTATGAAACACAAGTGAATTGTTTAATTGAACAATATTTGATGACTTACGAACATTTGTATAAATCTCTTTTCTGGGGCATTAGCATACCTACTAAAAATACCAAATTTTAAAATCAAGATACTTTGTCAGATTCTGCTGTTACACTAGTATAAATCCAGAATATCTCCCTTGACTTCAGTGGTGTTACTCCAACCTAATTTATGCATATCTAATTGAAAAAGTAGAATCTGACTGACCTGACTGAATTTATCCCTGTTACAACTTCACTGAATTCAGTAGCCTTACACCAGAGATCAGTTTGTCCCCTTGTTTCTGGAAGGTTTGGAAAATAAATGCATGAAAGCTCAATGGTTCCTTATTTTTACACAGTTCACTTCCTTTTTCAGGTTTTTGGTTTCAAATGCACATCTTAATGGAAAAATGTAATGTATTTAAATGTACAATTCAGTAGCATAGTATATAAAAAACTTTATTTTGGAGAGTACAGTCTTATTTATATTATAACACTCATTTTGGGTATCTACATTATATAAATTACACACACACACACACTCTTACACTAATATATATTAGCAAATGTACATGTTTGACTCCAAAAATCTAGCCATCTGCATACAAGAGAAGTGAGTTACAGTTCTTGGACTCACACTTCAGATATTCAGACCTTTATAAGTTAAAATTTCAGACATAACCATTTCATTAGCATAGTTGTTTTAAGCTGAATGTGTGGATCTATCCAGGTTCTTACATTGGTCTCCTTTGTCATAGTATTTGAGTTCCTGTGGATTGGTTTTGTGATCTTTTATATCTAATTTCCAGTGTCTGTGTGACTTTTCACAGAGGTACATCAAGAAGTTGTGCTTTGTTAGGCTGTAAATGTACAAGATGTGTAGTATGCATTTTGTGTACCAGAGACATGTTTAATTCCTGAAAACCAAATTTCCTGCCTGTGTACTACTACTTGGGTTGGCCTCAGATGGTAGTAATTCCTTTCTCATCCCAGGACTCTGATTCAATAATATCTGTAGCAATATCCTCACCTGTTACTGCTAGTATAAATTCATTAGGCACAGGGTGAAAGCTGAAGGACATTTAAATCTGTTAAAAGTAAGATTGCCCTATAGAATTATACCGTGCTCTTAAAGGTAGTAAAACACTGACCAATTTACATAATATCACCATAAATTGAAATTCTTGCTGCAGAGTACCCTGGGCTAAGGCTCGTCAGGCCTATTTTGGACGCGGAAAGAACAAGCAGTCCTTGGATGCTGTGGAAAAAGCAGCTTTCTTTGTGACTTTGGATGAAACTGAGCAGGGATACAGAGAAGAGGATCCAATGACTTCAATGGATACATATGCAAAATCTCTGCTGCATGGCAGTTGTTATGACAGGTACAGCAATGAGCAGGTGGGAACAGTGCCACTTAGTCACAATGAGCAGGTGGCTATTAGCCAGGATGGGCAGGGATGGTGTTCCTATCCTTTGTTTGCCAGAAGCTGGGAATGGGCGACGGATCACTTGATGATCACCTGTTCTGTTCATTCCATCAAGGGTACCTGACATTGGCCACTGTTGGAAGACAGGATACTGGGCTAGATGGACCTTTGATCTGACCCAGTATGGCCGTTCTTATGTTCTTAGGTGGGAACAGTGCCACTTAATCACATTACTTTACTGAAGAGGATTCTGGTTCATGTGTAACGTAGTGTGGTGTTTACCTTTTGTGTCTATCCTGTAATTTGCACTGCATACGCTTGTGGATTTTGGTCTTCTGGCAATCAACTCATCGTTTATTATTTTACCAGAGTTGGTGGTTTTTGTTCAATCTGCTACTTAAATCAGTCACTTTTTTCCATGTTTCTTAAGCATCATATGTACCTATGTCTTGCATTTCATAATTCATAACCAGTTATAGTGTCATATTCATGCTGAAGTTGGTGAGTAACCACTACAAGCAACATTCAAGTTTGTGATGATGTTTGGCCCCCAAGAAAACTTTAAAATTTCAGATTTTCTTTTGGTTAAAAATAAATGCACTTGTCTATTTGAAAACTTTAAAATGTTCAATATCTGGGTTTTTCAAACAAAAGTAAAATGGTTAAGTGCCTTTATTTATTATAAAAAGAAAAGGAGTACTTGTGGCACCTTAGAGACTGACAAATTTATTTGAGCATAAGCTTTCGTGAGCTACAGCTCACTTCATTGGATGCATTCAGTGGACAATACAGTGGGGAGATTTATATACACAGAGAAAATGAAACAATGGGTGTTACCATACACACTGTAAGGAGAGTGATCAGGTAAGGTGAGCTATTACTGGCAGGAGAGTGGGGGGGGGAAAAAACCTTTTGTAGTGATAATCAAGGTGGGCCATTTCCAGCAGTTGACAAGAACGTCTGAGGAACAGCAGGGGCGGGGGGGGAATAAACATGGGGAAATAGTTTTACTTTGTGTAATGATCCATCCACTCCCAGTCTTTATTCAAGCCTAAATTAATTGTATCCAGTTTGCAAATTAATTCCAATTCAGCAGTCTCTCGTTGGAGTCTGTTTTGGAAGTTTTTTTGTTGAAGAATTGCCACTTTTAGGTCTGTAATCGAGTGACCAAAGAGATTGAAGTGTTCTCCGACTGGTTTTTGAATGTTATAATTCTTGACGTCTGATTTGTGTCCATTTATTCTTTTACGTAGAGACTGTCCCGTTTGACCAATGTACATGGCAGAGGGGCATTGCTGGCACATGATGGCATATATCACATTGGTAGATGTGCAGGTGAACAAGCCTCTGATAGTGTGGCTGATGTGATTAGGCCCTACGATGGTGTCCCCTGAATAGATATGTGGACACAGTTGTCAACGGGCTTTGTTGCAAGGATAGGTTCCTGGGTTAGTGGTTCTGTTGTGTGGTGTGTGGTTGCTGGTGAGTATTTGCTTCAGGTTGGGGGGCTGTCTGTAAGCAAGGACTGGCCTGTCTCCCAAGATCTGTGAGAGTGATGGGTCGTCCTTCAGGAAGGTTGTAGATCCTTGATGATGTGTTGGAGAGATTTTAGTTGGGGCTGAAGGTGATGGCTAGTGGCGTTCTGTTATTTTCTTTGTTGGGCCTGTCCTGTAGTAGGTAACTTCTGGGTACTCTTCTGGCTCTGGCAATCTGTTTCTTCACTTCAGCAGGTGGGTATTGTAGTTGTAAGAACGCTTGATAGAGATCTTGTAGGTGTTTGTCTCTGTCTGAGGGGTTGGAGCAAATGTGGTTGTATCGTAGAGCTTGGCTATAGACAATGGATCGTGTGGTCTGGATGAAAGCTGGAGGCATGAAGGTAGGCATAGCGGTCAGTAGGTTTCCGGTATAGGGTGGTGTTTATGTGACCATCGCTTAGAAACCTTTATTTATTATGATATAGTTTTTAAATACAAATCCTAATACACAGTTGTAAATCATAACCTAGCATTGCCAGATTCACTTGATAGGCAAAATTCACAGAAGGCATCAGCTTTTTAACTCTGTTCACTTTGGTGGAGTTGCACCTGTTTTTGCTTCTAGTGCATTTGGCCCAGTGAATTTATAGGTTGGTTATTTCTGTAGCATGTTTTTAAATCTTTTCTATTCTGTTGTCACCTGGAATTGCATGTGCTGGTGTATCTAATTGAATGAGAGAGATTCAGCAAAGCGTCACTTCGAATGAAAACTTTTAAACATACCAAAAAAAAAATCTCCAATTTTTTTTTTAGGTGGTTTGACAAAACATTCACTCTTGTAGTGTTCAAGAATGGCAAAATGGGCCTGAATACAGAGCATTCTTGGGCAGATGCTCCTATTGTTGGACACCTTTGGGAGGTGAGTGTTTATATAGCTGACAAAGTAAGGTAATGGAAGGGATTATCTCATCTTGGTTACTTCTATTTTGTGAATCCTGAGGCTAAAGTTTGTTTCAAGCTATGTTTACTAAGAAAGTTGTGTCTGATATTGTGAGTTCATAGTATTTCATGTGATAAGCTTTGAAGTCTTAGTGGAAAACTGAAAGGTCACTGCTTCTGCTTTGAATGCTGGTCCATATGTGTATTCCACTGTGGGTATGCATGTGCTCCATGTGCCTGAGACCAGAAAATTCTTGCAAGCAGTGTCTGTTGATTTGCACCTGCATCTCTGCTCTCCTCATGCTTTGCACCACGAGTATAAGGTGCAGGGTGGACTACTGCCTCTCCAGTTCCTTCTTAATGCCATATGGTCTGTGTCAGAATCTCCCAGGGTCTGGAGTGTCTCCTTTTTTCCAGACTTCAAACATATAAATATTTAAAAGTTTTGTCTTTAGTGATGGTGTTTAGTTTTATTAATTTAGTTAGTTAGATTTCCCCTCCATCCCTGGGAACATGTCGCCTCCTGGTACAGAAATTAGATTATGCCCAGAGCACTGGGCATCAAAACTGTGTCTCCTGCCCTTATTCTTTCTTGGTCAGAAATGACCACCAGCGCTGCCTTAGAGAAGCACATATCTCCACCAGGTACAATATCTGTCACTCCATCCCTAGCAGAACCTGACAGGTATTCCAATTCCACCTTAAAAAGTGGTTCATGGAAAAGGTTATTTGGACCCAATCAGAACTCCCCCTTTCTCTTGTACATCATCCAGAGTCAGCAAGGAGCATGACAGAGGATGCAAAAGTCACAATATCCTGGACCTTCCACATCAACCCAACCTCCCCCCACCCCGCCAATAGATATTTTAGATGGGATGATTGGGAGTTGTGAACCACTACTGATGCTATTTTCACCCAATCCTTGCATATACTTGGTCATCTATCACTTTTCCCCACAGCTGGAGTTGTAATAATAGACAAGAGGGTGCTGAATATCATCCATTCCAGCTATATCATCAAATTTCTCTCCAAAATCTCCTTCCGTATACCTCTTTCGGGACCATTCTCATGAGGCGATCCTCCTCCAGGGCATAGAATCCCTCCTGCAATGGGGAGTGGTAGAGTAGGTGCCTCTTCAACATCAAGGAAAGGGTTTCTGTTTCTAGCAGTAGTAGCACAGTTCAGACGTAGTGGCTTTGCCATTTTCCCATATTTAGACAACTGCTTTTTTGCGGGAAGGGCGTGCTTAGAAGCCCTTGCATCAGCCTCATTGCTGCTTCATCTGTTATCTCTAGGAGTCTATGTAAACATGGAAAAGTCTATCCTGACACAAAAGCAGATTATAGAATTTATAGGAACAAGTCTAGACTCAATCAGAGCAAGGGCTTATCTCACACCCATAACAATTTGATAGCTCAGATCATGCACAACCCTTGAACATTGGTTCATATTTCCCTTTTTCTCTTGGGATGTATAGCGTTGTGGTGTTCTGCCGTGCCATTTGTCAGACTCCACCTACATTGCCTGCGGGCTTGGCTCCAAATGGAGTATATAAACCAAGCAAGCACAACGTGAACATCAGAATGAGGGCCTCGCTAACTTGATGCAAAAATCCTGGACAAGTCTGTGTGGGTGTTCCTTTCCTATCCCTTGCACCAAACAAGATGATAATTCTGGATGCCTCTCTGCTAGGCTGGGGAGCCTATGTGGACAGTAACGTGGTGCCGGACACTTGGACGCCCCGAGAAATCAGAATGCATATAAATCTCCTGGAACTCCAGGCAGTCTGCGAGGCTTGCAAAGCATTTCTACCATTCATCCAGTCTCACATTTAATCATAGTGTCAGAAAATATAACAATCATATTCTACATAAACAACCAGGGAGGAGCGAGATCCATTCCCCTGGGTATAGAAGCAGTCACCTTATGGAACTTATTTCACCTTATGGAAAGTGAGAGCTACACAATTCACTAGTGAACAGCATCTTCACTCAGTGGGGAAACCCCACTTGGGACCTGTTCGCTTCTAAGGCAAATAGGAAATGCAACACATTACTCCAGGGGAGCTCGGGGAAAGCACTCCAGAGGTGATATTCTCCTACTGCTTTGGACAGATCACTTCAGCTATTCTCTTCCCTCCCATTCCAGTACTAACTCAGGTTTTACAGATGATTCGACTGGACAGGGCATAAGTCATCCTCAATGAGCCCAAGTGGCCTGGAGAATTCTGTTTTCCACATCTACTGCAAAAGTGGTCCCATCTACCTGTCAGCATTCGGTCCTCTCAGATCCCTTGACCCAGGAGAATGGCAATCAAATGTCCAAACCTGGATGCACTTCATCTCACAGCTTGTTATGTGGATAGCATCAAACCTAGAACATACCCTCTGTGCAGAGTAAGAGGAGATCAGGGCACTGGCATGGACCAGCAGACACTGCTTGCAAGAACTTTCAGGTCTCAGTGTGCTTACCTTCAGTGGAATATAGATAGGGACCACACACCTTGAAGAACTCAAGTTACAAAGGTAGATAACTTCCCTTTATCTTTAATTTGCACATGTAGTTGTGCACAAAGATTTATTTGGTTTATAATCTGTCTGTGACATACATTTCATTTAACCTGTGTGCATATTTCTGAAGTTCTTACTTTTTGTGCTTTTTATGAAATTGTGATTGTGAAGAATTTGAGGAAGCATACTCTCAAGGCTGAACACTCTTTTTTTAAACAATTATTTAACAGGGCTACAGATTTACATGTTCAAGTTGTTCATTCTGATGTATACTTTCAGTGAGTGGAGTGAAGAAGTGTCCGCCCCTTTTTTTTAAATGCTCATCTGTTTCTCTGTCTCCTGGCCCTCCTATTTTATTTCATTGTCAACACAGCTCATTGCCCCAAAATCTTGTTTTTTCACCTTTTGGAGTTTAAGCATATATCCACCCTTATTGACTCTCTCAGCTCTCAAAACCAGTACAAAAAGGGTAAATCTGTTGCTTTGGAGACCATTTTAGCTTTATTTTACATTTGTGTGTTATACGTTTGTCCAAAGTGTTTTGTCTTTTTTCATACATTTTTGGTATTAGCTAGTAGTTTTTAATATTTCAGCAAGGAATATCCACATCTAAAAGCCTAGGAGTCTTTCTCTCATCCCTAATTAGAAATTGCAAAGGGATTCTGGGACTGAGATTGCCTCAAAGAGTCTAATTCTGACTAGCTTTTCTATTCAATCACTAGAGAGGAAAAATTCTTCTAATTCTTTGTTTTAGGGAAGCACTGACTATTATTTGTTTATCTCCTTTCCTTAATATAGGTGCTTTTAGGGTGGGGAAACAACTTCTTGCTAGCATCTTAGAATCCTAAGAATAAATTGAATTTGGTTTAATTTTCTAAAAGATTAACTTCTGCTAGCTGATTATACTTAAAGATATAGTAAATTTTAATGATTAGATTCTAAGAACCAGTTGTGTACCAGGTAGTTGGCATGTTGTGTCTGTCAAGTGAAGAAATTGAATAAGAAGCAAAAGGTTGAAAGTATGTATGGAATAACAGGTTTGCTACAAAAATGCCCTGTTCTGTACTCAGTTTGTGTGCTACCACTGTGTTGAGCAGATTCAAATATCGACTGGGACTCACACTGAGAAGGAGTATGTAGACATCAGTGGAACAGTCACTTCGTTCTCTAGTCTAGTTTACTGTAATGCTGCTGCTGAGACCTACACAAATTTATGGAAAAGGTCTTTATTGCATTTGTGGTAAAACATACTGTGGAACTCCCATTTTTACTGTAAAACTGTTTCTGTTCATTTAAGAAATCAAATATTTCTACCATGAATACTAGCAGTCTATAAAAGGTGCTTACAATAAAAAAGCAAAAGAGACAGCATTTGTGTTTATCTAGTTATTTTTACAAGCCTTTATTTTATAAATCAAGAGGCAGCTCTTATCTAGAATCAGGCTAATATCCAACTAGCTCAGTCTCTGCTTTTGTTAATACAAGGTTGTGGTTTAAAACAAACAAATCCATTGTGGTGGCACTTTAAGAAAACTCCTGCACCAGAGCTGCACGCTTGCTCTAAATACCAGAGAGAGAAACTGAATGTTCAGTGCATTAATGAACATGTGTGCAGATATTGTTTTGCATTCTGAATCTAGTAATTAATATTTCGGTAGGTCAAAACTGGAATTGTTAGCCTAACTCCAAAATGAAATGCATTTGAACTCTGTAACCTGGAACTCTTTACTGTATAATACATGTAGTTACATATGTCTTGTTCTTTGCAGAATGTTATGTCTTCTGATTGCCTTCAACTGGGCTATACAGAAGATGGTCATTGCAAGGGAGACATCAATCAAAATATTCCTTTCCCCACTAGACTACAGTGGGAAATCCCTGAAGAAGTAAGTGCAAAACCACAGCCAAGTTCCTGAGTTCATTTTATTTATCTGTTTGTCAGTAGTTACCTTACAGAGAAGATAACTTGCCCCACTATGCTTCAGTTCATTTGAGCCTTTTCGAAGGTTCAATTATATGTGTTTCACATGAGGAGCCTTGGGATAAGAGACAACCACAGCAGTTGGGTTTCTTAAATTGAGAGGCCTTTTAATAAAGGCTTTCCTTCAAAACTGTTCAATTTTCTGCCCAGATTATTAGTAGGACCTTAACTAGGTTGCACTTGGTAATTTGTGCATAGCAGCACTGAAAAATGGCCATCCATAATTTTTCAAAGATTTAACAGCAGCACTCTCGTGTCACTAAGATTTCAGTATTTCATTCAACTTATGCTGCAGAGCACTTGTTTGCTATGTAATATAAGCAATTGTTCATTTATAGCTTACCTAAAATACATGTTGTTATACACTAACCTTGCATTTTTATTTACTCACTAATACATAAAACGGTGAATGTAAGTCAGTTGAGTAGGGATGTCTGCAGAAAATGGAGCATTTTCCCTTCTTTCCTTTCCTGTATTTTATGTGGGGCCCGAGGAACCAGAATCCTTTATAAATGTCATCATATAAAACTATTTAAGCTCTAATGACTTAGAAAACATCTCAGAATAGAAAATCATAACAATTTTGCTGTATTCCTGGAAGCACATTGACTTCCCTGATTTTTTCCATTTTTTTAGCATATGAGAGTTTAAAAAGCTTTCTGGTCAGATTTTTTTTAGCTATTTACATATGAATGAGCTTTTTATCATTTTCTTAAAGACACAGTGCCATTTTGTATTATGTATGTATTTTAAAAAAATTGTTGCTGTTCTTAGTGCCAAGAAGTGATTGAGAGGTCCCTGTGCACTGCAAAATCTCTTGCCGATGATGTGGACTTCTGTTGTTTTCCCTTTGATGCTTTTGGGAAAGGGTTGATCAAGAAAGCCAAAATAAGCCCTGATGCCTTTGTGCAACTTTCCCTTCAGCTTGCTCACTATCGGGTAAGAACCTACAGAATGTCATAAAAATGGATATAATAAAGCTGTACCATGGCTAAAAATATACAGACATCTTATATGCATAGGCTTCAATCCAACTTTTGTTTAAGTTAGTGGAGACACTCCCTTTGACTTTGGTGGGAGTTGGATCAGGCTCTAAATGGTCTGCTAGCTAGAAATTCAAGATTCCAAAGGTCATTTCAATGACACACACAGAGATTGTTTGCTGCTTAATTAGTAATCTATTTACAGAAGTCCTGCACTTAAAGGAAATGGATTTGATTATCTATTAGGTATTTTTTCATTTGTAGTATCTGTTATCCTAAACCATACAAATTTAATCATATATGTTTGGTTACTTCAGTAGTGTTCATAGATATTTAGACTGTGGTTTCTTTCCTCTTTGGTTAATCCTCTGTCTGTAGTATGATTTTAGACGCATCTCTGTGTCAGAACCAGTCCCCATTCCTGTTGTTGACTTCGCTTGGTAGCTTTTCTCAGTTTAAGGTATTTTCACTCCATTTTTCTGATGCTGTTGTAGATGGAATCTCTTTTTAACATGATCACAGAAATTTAGACTTTCTCACTACTGCAGCCAATTTTCTCATCCTGAATTCTGAAAGTATCCATGAATGCGCCTTGTCAGGCTACCACCCTGAGCAACAGTTCATGTCATTGTTACTTGCAGTCTTCATTAGAAGGAGTAACTGGCTTGCACACCTGTCCTGGCTTGTATTTTAACCAGAAAGTTGCTGATGCATATTACTTGGTGATGTGTAACTTCCTTGGTAAATTTTAAAAGTAGTGCATGGGATGTAATATGCCCAAGTACAGTAATATGTAGGAACCTTTCCATTGACTGTTCAAATGGGTTTTGGATCAGGCCCTGTCAAGCTATAGAGGATTGTGAAGGGAAAAATTGTGCGGGATAGTTTGTGTTAAGCTTTTGGTTGCTTTCATCAGAAATTTTGGGAAGTAGTTGTTGAGCCAGTGTTGTTTTCAAAGACTTTAGGATACAGACTATGTTTCAGGTTTTAGGATGAAAGGATAAATACTTCAGTTTGGTCAGTTTAATTTATGGTGTGATTTTTTTTTAATTGGTTTCTATGCGCTTTCCTTGATCTGCTGCTTTATAACACCAGATTTTAGTCTGAGTAGATTTTTCAATCTTTGTTTTTGTCTCCAAGGACATGGGAAAATTTTGTTTGACATATGAAGCCTCTATGACCCGCCTGTTCAGAGAAGGCAGGACAGAAACAGTGCGCTCATGTACTGCTGAATCGTGCAATTACGTTCAAGCCATGGAAGATCCAACCCAAAGTGTAAGTTCATTGCAGCAATTCATGATAAATTCCCATCAATTTTGTATACATATATAGGTATCTGGCAATAAAACACAGACTTCCTGTGACAGTACACTAGATGTATTTACTACATTGTCTACCAACCCAGAAATAACATTAGCTGTACAAATAAACCCCATAATAGGTTTTAAATGCTTAGGAACTACTATATCTTTCTTCCTTAATGAGGAATAAATGTCTAAGTTTGGATCTACACTGCAAAATTTTGTATGCATAGCTATGTCAGTCAGGGGGTTGAAAGAACAATACCCTCTATCTGACATAGCTATGGCAGTAAAACCCCCAGTGTAGACACAGCTATGCTGAAAGAGTGCTTCTGTCAACATAGTTAAGGTTTGGGGATGTAGTGGTGTTATGTCAACAGAAAAACTCCTTCTGTTGGCATATACTGCATAAACACTAGAGGACTCTGCCTGTATAGCTACACCAGCAAAGCATTTGTCATATAGACAAGGCTTAAATGCAGATTAGTGGTGATAATCTGTATTTCTCTATCATTGCAGCTGGATTTCAGAATTGTTACATAAAAAGAGAACCGCAGTAACTAAAAAACAAAAAGTGACCCTTTTCTTTGTAACTCATAATTTTCACAAATATAAATCTCTTACCATTTTTAAGCAAAAAATGTGTTCTTAGAAGGAGAAACTGAGCAAATCAATGCTATTGCAAGGTAATTTTCTGTAATGCAAACTACTGTGCTAGCTGTTTGTGTTTTACTTTAAGAAATGAATATTTGATAGTGGTTGTAATAGTATGAATGCTGACAAGGGAACACAAACATTTCTGGATGGCATCCTCTGATAATACCAATAAAACACTCTAGCTAACATAGACATAGAAGAAAATATTGAACTGCAGTGTGGCTCTTCTCCTGGTTTTTATCATGAATTATGCAGCTGCTGTTCATCTCCACTCTGATTATATATTAAACATAGTGGTTACTAATATTGAATGCTGCTAGTTATTTTTTAAAAAAAAAAGCTAGCAGAACTTTCTTTTCTTTAAATGTTTGAACATGTTAACATTTTATGGCTCAATTTTGTGTTGGTTCTTATTTACCCAGAATTTCTTGATTAGAAACAGAAGCCATGTTAATCCTTTTTGCTGTAGTAGCCATAATGTAGCATTATGGCCTCACTGTGAGACTGAGCAAGAGAACTCCGGGCCTTGTTATGGGTAAAAACTTGGTGTGGGGGGGAAAGGTTGTGTGGCTTTTTTACACAGATGTTTAATAAGTAAATGTCATGGGAAAACCTAAACAGTTAAGAGGTAAATGGAATACGTTCTAAGTAAAAGTTTTCTTGACTGTGAATGTCTCTTTAAGTGAAGCAGATAGTTCTGCTACTGTACAGTTGGTAGGGTAAAGTCCTGTTTTACAGCTGTGCAGTGCAAGTCAATGTCTTGTGAACATACTGTATTAAGATAACAGAAAACATGTTCATTTTACGCAAGTATTGCCCACATACTGCTCAGTCCAACAATGTGAAAGGTCAGAGTGAGGACACATGTACAGGCTGAATTACGTCCGTTGAAATTGTCACTTTTGAGTGTACAGCTACAAGTAGGCATATTGCTGAAGACACCTTTGTGACACCACCATTGAGTGTGTCCAATTAACGTCATGTTAAATACCATCTTTGCAACTTCCTGATATTATGTAGTTTTAAACCAAAATTCACAGTTGAAATGGTTATTTTACCCTATGATCTCTTAACTTGGTGCTCTCAGACTGATAGTGTAAAGTACTACGATATGTCACATTTCACAAGATCACTGTTGTCTTTGATGAGCTTGGAAATTACTTACCTGATTTTCAGATATGCTGAGCACCCACAGCTCCTGTGAACTTCAGTTGGAGTGCTAGCAATATTGAAAATCAGGCCGAGAATTCAAACTTAATTTTTAGAATTGTTTTTATTTATGCAGTATAAAAAGTGCTTTTCACCCTGTAAACTTACTGAATGCGATGGCAGAAAGTCACTGGAAACTGTGGGTGCGCAGCATCTATGAAGATCTTTCTTTAGGTGCCCAGATTTGAAAATCTGGGCCTGGGCTCATTTCAGAAAGTTCTGTGACAGTGTCCTATTATTTGGCCAAACATTTTAAAGGTAAAGATTATGGCCAAGGTTTTTTTTATTACAGTAGGTCAGATGATTCAACCATCTCAATCACTTATGACGTCTCCAAGTCCTGAATGGGCTTCTCTGAAGGCAGTACTTCAGCCTCTGATAGAATGCTGTTTCTACTAGAATACTTTTTTCCTTTCTTTATTTCTACATCTGATTTTTTCCTCCCCCATTTTTCCTGATCTCTGCTACTTCTCCTTTTTTCTGTTTTTTCCTCCTGCATTCCCCTGTGCGCCTTTCCAGCCACCCTTGTTCTTCTATCCCTCTCTTTGCCACTCTTCCCCAATGGCTGCTTTTATTGGATGCTATCATTATCTCAAATAACTAACAGGAGAAGTATTACCAACTTCTTATGCCAAACCAAGTAGGCTGTCTAAGACCCTGTACGGATAGTACACCATGCTGTGATGGGAGAGGGCTCGGGAAGAAGTGACAATTTATCATGCTGTGAGATAGCACACTGGGTGTATGAAATAATCTGACAGAATGTGCTTGACTATCTAGAAAATGACCTGTTTTATTTAGGAACTAAAATCTTCTATTGCTATTGACTGCACTATCTATCAACCTCCTAAAATAGCTGTTAAGCTCCCAGTTCTTTCATCAGTTCGATCAGACCTGCTTTTTGTACCTGTTTAAGCAGAGTAATACAAAAACAGAGTAAGATTAGATTCTTTTTGAACTATAATCTCTCATGAAGCTTGATCTGAAAAGATGCACAATGAAGAGGCAAACTTCATAGGGCTAGTGTTGTAATCATATCTCATGCTGTACCTGATTCAGTGAGTTATATCTCTCAGTTCTAGAACTAAATGTACCTTCACTACAGTTCTACCAGAAACTATTGACATATAACTCCAGAAATTGAAATACATGTTAAAACTAGAAAAGTGGGATTTTAAAAAAATCCATCCCACATCACTTCAAACTTCCTTTCTTGCTGTTGGTAGTTGTTCCTCATAGCTGTTTTTTGTTGCATACTTTGTGTTGTACTTGGCTTTTAGTGCTGCAGGTTTTGATTTTGATTTCCCAATTTAAATACCTTCTGTCTGTTTCCTTGGTGTGGTTTTTTTTTTTTTTTTATTATTCTTTAGAATGAAAAGAGGTGTAAACTACTCAGGATTGCTGCTGATAAACACCAGCACTTGTATCGCCTTGCCATGACTGGTGCAGGCATTGACCGCCATCTGTTCTGCCTTTATGTGGTGTCCAAATACCTTGGTGTTGAGTCTCCTTTCCTTAAGGAAGTAAGTAACCTTTCTTGGTTGTTGTCCAGTATTGCAGCTTCATCAAGTAAACAAAAGATTAGTTATCAGTAATTAGCTTTTTCTGATATGAGTTTACTATAATTTTATGTTAAAATGTGTAGTTCTAAGGAAAATGTGAGATTGAATTGGTTACGCTGACATTTTGAAATACATTAATGATGCTAATTTAGCCCTGGTCTACACAACAAAATTACTTCCCTATAATTATATTGCTCAGGGGTGTGAATAATCCATACCCCTGAGCGACGTAGTTATACTGATCTAAGTACTGGTGTAGACAGCGCTATGTCAGTGGAAGAGATTCTCCTGCTGATATAGCTACTGCCTCTTGCAGAGGTGGAGTTAAGTGTTATTAAGGCTTCACCAGAAGCACTACAGTGGCACAGCTGCAAATTTGTAGTGTAGATCTTCCCATAGTAGTGTTCAGCTTTATAGGAGACTAGATAAGATACAAAGACACAACTTGCAGAAAACTATTTTTGTAGAGTAGTAAGTATCAGCAGTGGTTCAAAGAGATGTGACAGGTATTGCAAAAAGAATGATTGATAGTGATCAAGGCAGTGGAGTTAGGCTTTTAATTTTCCTCTAGATTACATTACTTACATGTAAGGTGAAGTCACTGTAAAATATTACCCTTTGAAGTTAGTTTGCTTAGGAAACTGTATATATGTTACGGATTATCGCACGAACAGAATATTATCTTGGTCAGTGGTTCTCAACCCAGGGTCCAGCTAGCAAACAGCTGCGGCCCAGCTATGTGCTTTAATTAAAAAAAAATAAATAAATAACCACAGCTGCCTGGCCCCACATGTGGCGGTGTCCAGGTCCTGGCTCCAGCTGCCCCACCCTGTGCGTGGCGCTCTTGGCCCCACTCTGTGGAGGAGTCTCTGGGCAGGGAGCGCTGGACAGAGAGGTCTGGTGGGGGGGGATAGTGGGGTGGGCGCTGTGGTTCTCAACCTGCGGCCCACGTAACACGGCCCACAATTATAAATATAGGTTGAGAACCACGGATCTTGATTAATAAAGTTCTTTAATTTCATTATATAGTTTGGGTTTGTAAGGTCTAGACATGCAAAAATGGTGCAGTATTGCACTTTTTCTCATAGATGACAAAAATACTTTGCTGCTTCATTCCATAAAAGATTAATCACATATGGGATCATTGTCTGGGTCACAGAGATTAATGAATGTAATGATCAGGCTGAGGAGGAAAACAACTTTTTGCAGTTTTCCTTAGTCCTGTCTTGAAACTGGTGTGCTATAACTAGAGATTACACAGAACTCTTACTTTTTTGTAAGGATTACAGTTTCTTAATACTTTACTGGGCAAATCAAGGGCCTGACCCAAAGCCCATTGAAGTTAGTGGGAATCTTTCCACTGACTTTAGTGGGCATTGGATCAGATCCCTAGTGATCACGCTTCTTATTTCAGCAAGCCTTTTCCAAACATGCTACTAACAGGAACTTAATCTGTTTTCTGTATGGGATCAATGTCAAGACCTTATGTGCTGCTCTTTTTTTTAACATAGCTTGTCCTGAAATATAGATCATTCATTTTAACCTGTTCATTCCATTGGGAATGTTTATTGGAGTTCATATTTAGTAGTAGTGCTTTATTAAGCAAAGTCTTGTATCTTAGCTTGATCACAAATACTTAATTGCAACACACAAACTGTCCATATGCACATTACTCTGGACTTCATATGCTCTAAAGGTTTTGTCAGAGCCTTGGAGGTTGTCAACAAGTCAGACACCACAGCAGCACATTGATCTGGAGAAGAACCCCGAGTTTGTATCCAGTGGCGGAGGCTTTGGACCTGTAAGTTTGGGGGTTTTTTAAACATATTTTGTAATGCATACTTCTTAAACATGGACTTAGTTTGCATGCGCCTAACTTGAAACTTTCATCTCAGTAATATGAAGACTGAAGATGAGTTGGGGGATTCTGAAAGTATGTGTGTTAATGTTTTCCTTTTGTATGTATGTTCTGAGGAGAATCTGTTGTCTTGGCTTTGTTCTTTTCTTTCGGACTAGGGAAATTGGGTGGGTCTTGCAGAGGAATCCAGGTGTGCTAGGCAGACATAACTATACCATGAAAGCTGGTGGATGGAGGCTTACTTCACCTCTTACTTGTGGTATTTGTGTTCATTATGACACATTCCTATTTTCTGCTGAACAACCACTGAGGACACAGAGTAGCTGCCGATGAAGGCTCATGTGTACTGTACCTATTTTTGTTAGATTCCCTCCAGTCAAAGGTGGGGATTGCAGTATAAATGCTTTGTGATACTGTACTCTCTGACCAGCTAATGAGCCTGAAAATACCTTTAAATCACGTCCTTGGTATGTTTCAGAGTAACAGCCGTGTTAGTCTGTATTTGCAAAAAGAAAAGGAGTACTTGTGGCACCTTAGAGTCTAACCAATTTATTTGAGCATAAGCTTTCGTGAGTTATCTTTTCTCCAGTACATTGAGATACATTTTTTTTAAATTGTAATGCCATAAAATAAGAGAGCTCCCCAAAGGGGTGTTCAAATTAGGAGGCTTCTGAATAGATATGCTTTTTTTTTCAAATAAGACTTTTACCTACTCAACAAGATTAAGTGAAACTTTCCCCAGCAGCATTTGAACCTCTGAAATCCTTTCTATGGGGTAGTTTGACTTGAGAAACGTTTCATGAACCACAACATCCAGATTATATATAGCCAGTAATTAGTATCCAAAAGAGGACACTTTTGCCAACAAAGAAATGTTTCAGCCATAGGGATTTCAGTCCATTCTTTTTTGTCCCATCATTTTTGCTTGTCTTGTCCCTGAATGTTCTCTTCACTTCCAAATGGGCTCCGCTTGTGATATCTCTAGCATCCCTCCAAAAACTGCTAGAGGAGCTCTTCCATTGCAACAATGGCAGCCCAAGGACTCATTACTTCATTACTCCCTAGTTTCTCTGCTCTTCTTTTAAAGCTCTACAGAACATGACCCTGTAGTATAAAGAGAGAATTATAGGGTATCAGACTGCTCAGCAAGAATAGGAGATGCCCCCACGTGCAGGGAGGATGCATTACATTTAATAATTAGGAGGTGCACAGCTGGACAGTCCTTCCTATGTGTATTACAGGTCTGTCCCATGGAGCTGCATTTTGACACTTGGATGGTCATGTGCTGATAACGTTGAAGGCAGACCATTTAAACTGTTCTGTGTTCCCCTAAATAGCAGTAATTCTTTGAGCTGAAGCATCATTAAACATACATTAAAATTTATTTTTCCATTACAGCAGAGGTGGTCAACTGGGGTTATATCAAACTTTTTAGAGAGCCACGGCAAGCCTTCTAACAGTAATTATAGTAAAACTGAGGGGCCAAATTTGGCCTGGCTGCAAGTTGTGACCTGACATGTGGGGGAGGAGGGCGGAAGGGCTCCAAATTTTAAATAAATAAATAAATAATGCCAAGGTGAGGCATGGTTCAGAAAAGGTCAAGAATCCCTGCTTTCGAGAAAACTTGAAGTTATTTTAATACCTGGTTATAGAACAGGAATTGTGCTGTTTATATATGAGTGTATTAAACCTATTGCTAAATACTTTTTCCACAGGTTGCTGATGATGGTTATGGTGTGTCTTACATTCTTGTGGGAGAACACCTCATCCATTTCCATGTGTCCAGCAAATTCTCTTGTCCTGAGACAGTAAGTGTGAAGTAAAATTACAATTCTATTAACCTTTCCTACACAGCTCAGTAGTGATTACATTTGCGGATTCATTTGTGAAATGCCCCTTAAGTCATATTTTTAAAAACATATCTGAATCTGTAGTATATGGCTTCTCTGTGGTTACTCCTGCTGACTTTTTTAGATCTGCTGTGAATCTGTTTTTCTGAACTTGTGTGTGTTGAATATCTTTATAAACAATGGAAGTTGCCCCCATTCAAGTTCATCCAGACTTTCATACACCATGAAAATATATGGCCTGATCTTTTTCTCACACATACAGTGCCATGTGACACATGTAAGATAGTCCATATCCAGCCAGTAAACACCACTAGTGGATTCTCACTTTTTAATACTGCACATCTTTCTTCAGGCCTTCCACTAGTTGGAGGCATTGGAGCTTTCAGACAGTGGAGAATGTATGCCACCTCTTTCTGAAAAAAGTCTCTCCTCATCTAAACAATAGTTTGTGAAGTTTGTCCAGTTATTGTGTTGATCAGTATTTAATAAATGTGTAATATATTCTGAAGCTTTTAGTGAGGGTCATCCATTAGGATCAGGTGGGAATATCCTGTGATACAGGGCGAGCCTCAGTCATTCACTTTATTATTTTACTGTGTTTCTATAAACCTGCTGAATTTTAGCCACATAGGTGATCTCATCGTCTTGTTGGGACTGATCTCATAGGTAATTTAAGATATCTTAACGACGCTTCCAGTGCTACTACCACCTATTGATAAATGGATGAGGACATACATTTTTGTCCTTGCATCATGGAAATTGTTTTTTATTGGATTATAGATGCCCTTAATTATTCATCCTTTAGTTGCCTTGATTTTTTTGCCTTACTCATCAGTGAAGTCAGAGTTCCACGCCAAGAAGGAAGCCCTTTTTATTTGTGACCTTGACTTCAGTACTGTTTCTACACCCAGTGTGCACTGTCTTCAGTGTTATAACTGTTTGGTCCTATTTTTAATCTTAATTCCTTCCTTTCATTATTGATCTTTAACTTACAAGAAGGAAAACTGGTCTGGTTCAGAGTTTATTATTAATAGACTAGAGTATTGTTGTACAATTATTTACTATAGTTTTTATAACCCTCTGGTGCCAGAAAGATAAGAGATCCCAACACAACCTCAAGTACAAAATGTATTTGTAACAGGTTCCCCCTCTTTCCTCTTCTCCTCTCCCCCCACCCCCCGGTGCCACCTGATGTACTAGGGTACCACTGAGCCTGCCTGTTCCAACAGCCGGGGCTCCCTTACACTGTCCTGCTGAGCCAGGCCCTCAAGCCTACTCCAGCACACACAAGTAGGGACACACCCAGCTGCAGAAAGACACAGACACTGAAATCAGCTCTGCATGGGAAGACTCAGCTAGGGAATTGTTCAGCAGTTGAGTGCACACCACTCTCTGGAGTGCAAATCCAAACTTGTATCATCTTGCGTTGCACAGAGAACTGTGCAGCATAAGCTCATGAAAATTGCTCCCTCCCTCAATGTGGAGGAAGATATGCACAGCTATTTGCCTCCCAGTTATGAAAACTGGTTTTAGAGAAAACAAAAACAAGTTTATTAACTACAAAAGATAGATTTTAAGTGATAGCAAACAGATCAAAGCCGATTACTGAGCAAATAAAATAAACACGCAAACTAAGCTTAATACACTAAAAAAACTGGTTACAAGTAGTAATTTTTCAACCTCAATGTTGTTTTAAGCAGATTGCAGAGGTTCTTGGAGGCAAGCTGCTCTTGCTTGTAGATTAAAACTCCAGGTATTTATTTCACAGGCCAGACACCTTCCCAGCCTGGGCTCAGTCCCTCTCCCCACCACTCTGTCTTTGTTTCTTAGGCCGTGTCTACACTGGCAAGATTCTGCACAATAAAGCAGCTTTCTGCTGTGTAACTCCCGCGGTGTACACACTGCCAAGCCACTTAGTGCGCAGAAACTCCTCAGTTGCAGCGTTGCAAAAAAACCACCTCGAGAGTCGTAAGCCTTGCAGCGCAGAGTGTCCAGCGCTGTATTGGCAGTGTAAACACATTACAGTGCAGAAAGCAATCAATTGGCTTCCGGAAGTGTCCCATAATCCCTCAAGTGGCTGCTCTGGGGATATGCGCCTCTCCCCTTTCAAAGCTCTGTTTCTGACAGCCATTGCATGATGTGCTGATCTGCTCTGGGACGCAAAGCAAACCATTAATATGGACTGCTCATGCTGTTGAACACAGAGGCAGGCGTGTGTGTGTAAGAGAGAGAGAGATTGCTGTGCAGAGAGCCCAGGGAGGGAGGCGGGGGCTTATGTCGGGGTTTCCCCCTCCCCTGGCTCAGGACTGGTTGCTTCCTGCCCCTGTCTGAATTTACAAGACAGCATGCTGACACACTCTGTCCCCCAAAACACACAGACACACACACACACACACACTCTGCCCGCCCCCCACTTCAGTTGAAAAGCAACTGGCAATGTAGTAGGATACCCATGGAACAATGGGATTGGGAAACCTGCATCATGTGACGCTGTGCCTGCCTCAAGAGCCATTGCAAACCCTTCCCAAAGCACCCTGCGGCCAGTTGCACAGTGGGATAGCTACCACAATGCACTGCTGTCTTTGCTGTTGCAAGAGCTGCTAAGGTGGATGCGCTCCACTGGCACAAGGAGCACAGTGTGGACATGCAACAGCAGTTTAATTCCAGCGCTTTAATAAAAGTGGTATAACTTGTTGCGCAGAAACTTGCCAGTGTAGACATACATGTAGACGTTTCCAGCAGTCATCCTGGGTGGGGATTCAGTGAAGAATGAACTTAATTAAGTCACTCCTTGGCCTTAAATAGGTTTTACGTATAGCGGGAATCCTTTGTTTTCCAGCGTGGTCTCTTCCCCCCACACCCCTCTCTCCCCCAGTGGAAAAATACTGGTATTCTATTATGGACTCAGTGCCATGTGACTTTGATCACATCACCCTGCAGTGTCAAAGCAGCCATGAGTCAGAGGCTGTTTGTAGCATCCCAGGAAGGTGGGAAATTAGCTGATTGCATTCTGTCTGGTGAGCAGTCCTCAGGTGCGAACACTTTTGTAATACAGATGTATAGTCAATATTCCTAACTTTAGATACAAAAATCATACATGCATACAAATAGGATAATTATGTTCAGTTAATCATAACCTTTCCAATTATATCTCACAAAACCCATCTTGCATAAAATACATCTTAGATATGCTATAATTATATTATAACAACATTTCAATGAAGAATATGGGGTGTAGTGTGTCAAAATTGTCACCAGAGACTTCATGTTAAAAGATTTCTCCCAGGTCATCTATATTTCCTAATATTTTGGTGTCATTTGAAAATCAGTTCTTGCTGAGTCTTGTTTACAAAATAAAAAGTCACTATTTGAAATAGTAATCTGCAAAAGTCAGTGCTGTTCCTGAGGGACAATTTTTTTCAATTTAACCTACAATAGAGACCAATATAATTTCAAACTAAAATACAGCTAAATTCCATTTACAGGGAAGTAAATGGAAAATGGAGGAGGATCCATGCTGAGATAGCCCTCTTATATACTGCATTAAATTTTATTCAGATTTTCACATTCTCCTGCTTCATTATGAATAGATGACTGCTTCATTCCATAAATTTCAATATTACAAAAAATGAAAGGAGGAAATAGATAAGTTTGGCTACAAGATAATGGTGGCATTACAACTCTTGCTATATCTTTTTATTCTCTTAGGATTCTCATCGTTTTGGAAAAAACATCAAGCAAGCAATGGTTGACACCATAACTTTATTTGGTGTTGGTATGAACTCTACCAAGTGATTCCTTAATATCAATGCCAGTGTCCTACCATTGGGGTGAGAACTCTTCTGATCAATGAATGAAAGCAAGGTGTACTCTGCAACGGTTAGAGGGGCATTTGGGTCATAATCATCCTGTGATCACCTGTGAATAAGGATTCAACACCTAGGCTGAGGTTCAAATGTCCCATCATTTCACAATAGCTCAGAAGAGTTCTCTTCCCATAAGAGATGACTTTTGACATCCTATGTGATTCTAGGGATACTGTAAAGCAACATCATGTGAAAGATGTGTACTGTAGGCCTGTCTCAATTTTGTGTACATATGGTAACTTTTTACTTAAACTCTGGGTCTACTTGTATTTCATAAATGAGTGGATAAAATGTATTCAGTCAACTTCAATCAGCAGAAAGTATTTGACTTCCTATGTACTAGTAGCAAAACATCAATTAGTATATCTGCTACTTCTGTCTGACAGTGACCAGACTTGTGGGTATTCATCTAAGTTGTCACTTTTTAAAGGTATTTCTTAACCTGACATAACCTAATATAGTGCACTAACTGGAAAATATACTGTGCTTCATATAGTTTGCCGCATCTTAATTTTATTACCATATGAACATACCTGCATGTTGTATGAGCCAGTGCCTTAAAAATGAAAGGCCTCAAATACAGGGAAACCTTACATTGTGGGGTTCTTGTTTTTTGAATTATTTCTATACATTTTCTATGCTGAACAAGGGGAATGGAATTGTAAATTTAATTCTCAAGTTGTAATTTATTTAGGTGCAACATCGGATAAGAGTTCATGTTTTGACACATTGCAATTTGGCGGAGGGCCCCTATGTGAAATGCCCCTTTGTCTGTCTAATGAAAGACCAGTCCCGGTGAGACAATGAATTCACTTTTTTTCAGAACCACATTTCTAAAACCCACCATTTTGCTGACTAAGTCACATAAGATAACTGCTGCATCTCATGTACATTTTCTCTGGGACTCCAGGGAACGTAGCCATGAGCCACATACAAGCCCGTTGGGCAATCCACAGAAGAAGACTCTCGCAGCTAAGGAACTGCATCTTGTCTACCCTCATGCTTAGAGCAGCACCCACCACATTTCCAAACATCTTTAAGCGGAAAGGATTAAGACTGTCAAATGGTAATACCAGAATGGTGAAATCTAGCATTCCCTGGTCTCTGCCTGGAGAGCGTCTGGGTAGGGCCAGGGAGAATTAACACAGTTAATGAGGAAAGCAAATGTGGGGGGAGGGAGAAAGGGGGAAAAAAACTGAGCAGTACCACTCAAAAAGATATATAATGGAAATTTTAAAAGCAGAGTAAAGAAACCTTCACAGTTCATGGTTGCTATGAAATTAAATGAAGTAGCTTTTTGTGATACCTCTCTTCCCTGGGATTCAAGCTTGTGTTCCTTTTAGTCAGTCTTTATATCACATAAAGCCTAAGCAGCATAAAATGTGGCAAATACTTTATACACAGAGCAACTGTATATAAAAGGATCTTGTAACATATACAGGGGTGGTCAGTACAAAAATGACTGCTGTTCCAGGGCTATTATAACATTAACAGCCCTGTAAAGGAAAATGTCTAATTTATCTTTAGAGTGAGAATATGAATATTTTCTGACCATAATCTTGTTTTGACTCTGCCACGTAAATTTTTCCCCCTCTGGGTTTCACATGAATTTGATACACAAGTTTGGGAAGAGGCCCTGCTGAAGATCACAGATGCATAGTCATGTAAATATTGTAATGCAGGAACCCGACAGAAGTGGGCCAGATAATTTTTATTGGGTCAGATACAGTATGCAGGCAAGGAGATTATCAAATAAGCCTTACTGCAACTGGCAGGCACTGCAACTGGCAGGCACGGCATCTAATCAGACTACTGCAGCAACTTCACAGTGAATTGTCCTTTTGAAGCTGCAGAAATCATGCACTATTTATGATGACCACTGACCAACCTGTATTAAATTAACATTGACATATTCACTTGTAGGAGAATTTTTTATTAAGAAAATGTTTAGGTTTGACTCTCAGGTTTTAAATGTTACATATGTAATTGTAGGTAGTGCAGTTATCAATGCAATTTTACATTCCTTAAGAGAGTGTAAATATAATTGGCACAGGAAGAGTTCGTTTTTATTGTACATGTTGAAAAGGGTAAGTCTTATGTATTTTTTATTTGGAGCAGATAATTTCTAAACATGGTTTGTATTTCATTTATCTTAGAATGTCAACTGCATGTAAATAAAAATGTGCTCTTTTGGATGTAAATCTTAAATGCACAGTGAATGTAGGTTATCATTAATTAAAAAATTTTTAATCTTCCTATCCTCTACATTATGTATACGCAGTGAAACTGCTCACTTTTGTTTGCTTCAAAGTTGTATGAAAGTGACAGTTTAGCTCTAATTTTTAAGTGTGGTACACAATACTAAGAAGCACTGCCAAGTTAAAATATTATGTATATATTTAGAAAAATTCTTGATTGGTTCTCAACCAGTGATTTAAGGAGGACAAAGCTAAGGTTGAGAGAGTAATAGAATTTGGTAGGAATTATAGTAAATCAGTTATTACATGCGATTGAGGAATTGGCTGGACAACTCAATTGTGCATTTCCAAAATTTCTAATATTTAGCTTTTTGGTGTGATTTGGGAGACTTAATATTTAGGTGTTAACACTTACTCTGGTTGATGGCCCTAACTATTTTTAAAGTTTTGTTTTGTTTTTGGTGGGAATATGAATTAGGGTGCCTGACTTTAGCCCCACAAGTTTAAGAAAGTTCCTGATTTATTATGCTTTGCACTATATTGATTTCCTATATAGGATTTACTAATTTATATTGGTTTTATCATGCTCATTTACTTCACTTGTACTATTTTTTCATCATTTATTTACATCTAATACTACTAGTTTGTTCTTTAATTATATTTGTTCTGCCTTTCTGACTCTGAAAAATAAAAATTAAAGGTTTCACGATTATCACCCATTCTGTTGGAGTCTTCTTCCTTATCCTTTGCTCCCATATCTCTGCTCATGGACCTAGGGTTACTACCTTGCCAGTATTTGAGCGGCCTGTCTGGTTTTTGTTTAGTTTTAATAAATGAATTTGCCAGTTATCAGAAAAATAATTTAATCTACCAGAATTGCTTTTATGTGGGTCTAAAGATTTGCATAATTATCATAATAGAGTGGGATATCTAATGTTAAAGGTTTGTGTCCAGCTAAAGATGCTGCAGTGTTCCCACTTCCACAGTTTAAGGAATAACAGATCAAAACTGTTGAAAATACAGCAGCTGTATGCTAGAGTTGTCAGGCATCTAGTTTTTGATCCCAGAATGCCCGGTCAAAAATGAACCCTGGCGGCTCCAGTTAGCACCACTGACCAGGCCACAAAAATCTGGTCAGCGGTGCAACAGGGCTATGGCAGGCTCCCCAGCTCCACACAACTCCCGGAAGTGGCCGGCATGTCCCACTCTTAGGCACCGGGGCAATCATGGGGGTGCCGCACGCTGTCCCTGCCCTGAGTACCGGCTCCACAGCTCCCATTGACCGGGAACCAGTTGGCTGCAGGGGTGGTGCCTGTGGGCAGCGCACTGAGAACCCTGGCCTCTCCACCTACGAGCCAGACATGGCAGCTGCTTCCAGGAGCCATCTGAGGTAAGTGCTGCCTGGCCAGAGCCCATACCCCCCCACACACACACACCCCAACCCTCTGCCCTAGCCCAGAGCCCCCTCCTGCATCCTTAACCCCTCATGATCCTACCCCAGAGCCTGCTCTCCCAGCCAGAGCCCTCACCCCCTCCCACACCCCCCTGCCCCAGCAGAGTTAAAGTGAGCGAGGGTGGGGGGGTGGAGTGAGTGGGGGCAGGGCAAGGGTGTTAAGTTTTGTGCGTTTGGAAAGCGGGCAGCCCTGCTGTATGCCCAAGTGTGAGAGAAGGTGTGTGTCCCAGGAGCGTGAGGAGACCAGTGTTAATCTTATCGGTATGTCTTACCTTTACAGAGACCGCAAGTGGCTGTTTAGGGAGGTAGGGGAGTTGCCTTGTGCCTGGGGGTTGGCGGTGCTGTGGGCCCGCCTTGGGGCGGGGAGGGCAGGTTTTTTGCGCTTCAAAGGTGAGAACGGTCCACGGACCTGTAAATCCACATGCTGTTAATGTCTATTAGACCGTAATCGCTTTAAGGAGTGAACGCAGGAGTTCAGTTAACTACATTTAAAACGTTTTCAGGCGCGGCGCCTACAGCCGTGGCCCAGTGCTCGTTTTACCTTCGTATGTTTCAAACAGCAAAGCCTCGGGCACAGCAAAGCTGGTTCACGCGGAGCGCTTGGAAGTCGGGTAATGGTCCGCTCGTAGGGATAAAAAGGTGGGCAGCCAGGCACCGTGCAATGGATCAAACACCACGGCTAGGGCCCTGAGCAGCCACGTCCTCCTTGCATGAGAGCTCAGAGGGTATCAAAAGCGGATTAGAGCTCAGAGGGCACCTCGGCGGCTTCCCCCTTAGGCCTCCAGCTCTTGTTTCCTTACCCTAGCGCCCTCCCTTCTTCGGAAGCACGCGTACACGCTGCTCGCCCTGTCCCCAGGAGAGGCACGGGGGGACCCGCTCCCCAGGGCCGTGCCCGGGCTGGGCCGGAGGCGGCGTGGTGCAGCGCGCGCGCTCTGGGGCCTCGCCCGCCTCCCACGCGCTGCTGGGGCGGGCCGGGGCAGCCATGCGGGAGCCGGGCAGGGCGACGGACGCTGCCCGAGGACGCAGCCCGGCTTCTGCGCGCGGGGGCGGCGTCCCGCGGGGCTGATGCTCCCGCCTTTGTTGTCCCGCGCACGCAGCGCTCCGTGGCCGGGGGCCCGTCCTTGGCCCTCGCCACGTGACTCCACCGGCCCTACAGAAGCTCCCTCCCCCGCGCGGCTCTCGCGCAGGCCCTTCCCCCTCCCCTCTCGCTCGGCCCCAACGGTCCCCGGGCGCGCGCGGGCGGGACTAGGCACGCTGACCCCTCCGAGGCCCAGCGCGGAGCCGGGCGGGGCATGGAGGGAGAAAGGCGGGAGCTTGCTGCAAGGCGAGGGGAAGGTGAAGGAGGCTGCAGCCTGATCGCCGGGGGGGAGTGAGCACACCGTGTTGCCCCACCCGCGGGGCGGGGCAGGCTATCCAGCCGCGGCATAGGGGGTCGCAGCGCTGGTCCCCCTCAGGTGGGGGTTGATCCCGGGACCGGGGGTCCCAGTGCACATTATCCCTGCAGATCGAGGGAGTGTCGTGATGCACACGTGGGAGAGCTGTCCCTAATGCAGCCCACAGTGCTCTGGGCGAGTTGGGGGTCACAATCCAGCCTGAGCTTCCCTTGTGCCCCACTGGGGATTAAAACCCATGTCCCTCTCATGTGGGGCAGGCTCAAAATCCAGTCATACACACAGAGGGTTGAGGGTCATGTTCCCACTGGGGTCCCAATCTCCCCTTTCTTCTGCAAATGATAACACAAGCAGTGTTTAGAAACCACAAGCTACCAGTTCCTCCACCCACCCCATCCTGGAGTCTGGGCACTAGTTATTTCTTGCCCCAGATTCCTGCAGATTTTGGATGCAAATCTATCACTCAGGCTCCTGGGCACAGTAGGAATAATAAAACTTTTTCTCTTGTCCTTACCCTTTTTTTGCACTTGCTCAGCGAACCACAGCCAGTGGGAGCAGCGATCGGCCGAACCTGCAGATGCTGCAGGTAAACAAACCATCCTGGCCCACCAGTGGATTTCCCTGATGGGCCACGTGCCTACTTATACATGGGATGTATAAGTAGGGGCATAGCGAGCAGATCGAGGGACGTGATTGTCCCCCTCTATTCGACATTGGTGAGGCCTCATCTGGAGTACTGTGTCCAGTTTTGGGCCCACACTTCAAGAAGGATGTGGATAAATTGGAGAGAGTCCAGTGAAGGGCAACAAAAATGATTAGGGGTCTGGAACACATGAGTTATGAGGAGAGGCTGAGGGAACTGGGATTGTTTAGTCTGCAGAAGAGAAGAATGAGGGGGGATTTGATGGCTGCTTTCAACTACCTGAGTGGTAGTTCCAGGGAGGATGGTTCTAGACTATTCTCAGTGGTGGAAGAGGACAGGACAAGGAGTAATGGCCTCGGGTTGCAGTGGGGGAGGTTTGGGTTGGATATTGGGAAGGACTTTTTCACTAGGAGGGTGGTGGAGCACTGGAATGAGTTGCCTAGGGAGGTGGTGGAATCTCCTTCCTTGGAAGTTTTTAAGGTCAGGCTTGACAAAGCCCTGGCTGGGATGATTTAATTGGGTATGGGTCCTGCTTTTGAGCAGGGGGTTGGACTAGATGACCTCCTGAGGTCCCTTCCAACCCTGATATTCTATGATTCTATGCTCTGTTTTCTCTCCTCTGTCCCCTGGGGTTAGAGGATTGTACCTGTGTCTCCCCACCACACTCCCTGTCTCCCTTGGGGTTGAATGTGACAATCCATCCCACCCCTGCTTGAGTATTGAGAATGATAGTAAACTAGTTTTCAGGGTATATCTCTTTTTATATATTTGTCGAGTGGATAGCATAATATTGCCCTGGACTCTAGGAACTACTGTAATATAAATAATATTTATATGGAGCTAACGTGACTAACAGTTGCTGTAATAGAATATAAAGTGTTGGATTTGCATTTTTTAAAAATTTGCTAAAATTTTGGCTGCATATTCAGTTCTGGTTATGAATTTTGCCAACATGTGGGTTTGTTTGGAATTAGACTTTGGTTTGGGTTCATCTTTAATTGTTTAAAAAGAAAAGGAGTACTTGTGGCACCTTAGAGACTAACACATTTATTTGAGCATAAGCTTTTGTGAGCTACAGCTCACTTCATCGGATGCATTCAGTGGAAAATACAGCGGGGAGATTTATATACATAGAGAACATGAAACAATGGGTGTTACCATACACACTGTAACGAGAGTGATTATTTAAGATGAGCTATTAAGCAGGAGAGCCGGGGTGGGGGGGGGAGGAGAACCTTTTGTAGTGATAATCAAGGTGGGCCATTTCCAGCTGTTGACAAGAACGTCTGAGGAACAGTGGGGGGTGGGGGGAATAAACATGGGGAAATAGTTTTACTTTGTGTAATGACCCATCCACTCCTAGTCTTTATTCAAGCCTAAGTTAATTGTATCCAGTTTGCAAATTAATTCCAATTCAGCAGTCTCTCGTTGGGGTCTGTTTTTGAAGTTTTTCTGTTGAAGAATTGCCACTTTTAGGTCTGTAATCGAGTGACCAAAGAGATTTGGTTTTTGAATGTTATAATTCTTGACGTCTGATTTGTGTCCATTTATTCTTTTACATAGAGACTGTCCAGTTTGACCAATGTACATGGCAGAGGGGCATTGCTGACACATATCACATTGGTACATGTGCAGGTGAACGAGCCTCCGATAGTGTGGCTGATGTGATTAGGCCCTATGATGGTGTTCCCTGAATAGATGTGGACATAGTTGGCAACGGGCTTTGTTTCAAGGATAGGTTCCTGGGTTAGTGGTTCTGTTGTGTGGTTGTAGATCCTTGATGATGCGTTGGAGAGGACATTCTTGTTCCTCAGACATTCTTGTCAACTGCTGGAAATGGCTCGCCTTGATTATCACTACAAAAGGTTTCCCCCCCCCCCCCGCTCTCCTGCTTCATAGCTCACCTTAGGTAATCACTCTCGTTACAGTGTGTATGGTAACACCCATTGTTTCATGTTCTCTATGTATATAAATCTCCCTGCTGTATTTTCCACTGAATTGGAATTAATTTGCAAACTGGATACAATTAACTTAGGCTTGAATAAAGACTCGGAGTGGATGGGTCATTACACAAAGTAAAACTATTTCCCCATGTTTATTCCCCCCACCCCCCACTGTTCCTCAGACGTTCTTGTCAACTGCTGCAAATGGCCCACCTTGATTATCATTACAAAAGGTTCTCCTCCCCCCCCCACCCCGGCTCTCCTGCTTAATAGCTCACCTTAAATAATCACTCTCGTTACAGTGTGTATGGTAACACCCATTGTTTCATGTTCTCTATGTATATAAATCTCCCCGCTGTATTGTCCACTGAATGCATCCGATGAAGTGAGCTGTAGCTCACGAAAGCTTATGCTCAAATAAATGAGTTAATCTCTAAGGTGCCACAGGTACGCCTTTTCTTTTTGCGAATACAGACTAACACGGCTGCTACTCTGAAACCTTTAATTGTGTGTGTTTTGTTTTGTTAAAATTATGCTATTTATTTTATAGATGAAAGACTTACCAAGAAGAATTTTGATCTAGAAAAGTTAGATGTCCCCAAAGAGAAAAACAGATGTGAACAAACTGAGATTCCAACTGTGGCTATGGAAAATCAGATACTGCTTGGTGGAATTTCAAGTACAGAAGATGGATTTATCACTGAAATATTTAGTCAAAATAGGCCATTTAGTTCTGAAAACCTTAACTTTGAAAATACAATAATTAATAAACCTGGTGAAGAAGGGTTTCACTCCAGTCAAGACAGTCATTTATCCACTATGGCTGTTGGAGAAACTTTGCTGGATCAATTCAAATACCCTCTTACTATTGAAAGTCAAAATACAATACTCAAGGTCAAAATACATCCACTTGTAGAAGACAATCATGATAATGAAATCCTTGGAAAATGTCAGAAGCTACAAGACCTAAATCCTTCAGAAGAAGCTAAACATACATATCCACCTTGTCCACTGTCGCACTCATACAATGTCCATTTTCTGTCTTCCTTAATGATGCAACATAGAAATTCTAATGATTTGTCACTAAGTACCTGCCCTCCAGAAGGAACAATCAATCAAAATGTCAGAATGATACCAGTAAGATTCAACAAAACAGATTTCTATTTATATATTTTTTCTTGATTTAAGTGTCTGAATAAGCACAGTTCCCGTATTAAGAGAAAGCATAAGATGCTTTAAAGTTATTACTATATAAGTTGTATTAGCTACTATTTCTCTCTCTTAAAGTTATGCTCAAATAAATTGGTTAGTCTCTAAGGTGCCACAAGTACTCCTTTTCTTTTTGCAAATACAGACTAACACGGCTGTTACTCTGAAATCTCTCTTTTATGCGGAACATAGGACCTTCACCACTGCGTTCCATTTTTGCCAATCTCGGTCTGCAATCTTAGGTTCACCATGCTATTCTGATAGCTTTCAGTTTTGCTTGTATTGTGCATTTCCATGTTATCCTTTGTCTTGTTGCTGCTTACCCCAGAGGTTCCAGTCCAGTGCCCATCTTGTTATTCTCTTTGGGTCTTTCCTCCATGTATGTCCTAGCCATCTTCATTTTTTTTCCCCTGTAATTTCCTGTTCTATTGGTTTCTATTTCATTCTCTTCTAGAGTGCTTCCTTAGTGACTCTTTTCTGGCCAGCTGATATTGAGGATTTGTCTAAGGCTGTTAGCTGTTTATGAAAATTTGGAGTTTAGATAGTAAGGTCTTAATAAGTCTCCAAGTTTCAATACGATATAGTAAAATTGACTCTACAATTGTGTTAAATATTCAAAGTTACTTTGGAGGGCAAGATTTCTGTTTCTACAGAGGGGCTTTAGAGTTACAAAGGCATGTCTGGCTTTCACTGTTCTTGCTTTAATGTCTTTGTTCCATCTGTTGTACTTACAGTGCAGCCAAGATATGTGAAATATCCAACCTTTTCTATGGTTGTTTGCAGTGTTGTAGCCGTGTTGGTCCCAGGATATTAGAAGGTGGGTGAGGTAATATCTTTTACTGGACCAATATCTGTTGGTGAAAGAGACAAGCTTTTAAGCTAAGCAGTGCTCTTCTTCAAGTCTGGGAAAGAATGTTACAGCTAAA